AATTCTACCAATGTAACTGGTCTATGACATCAGAACTCATGACCCAATAGCATTCGTCCCTCCAGTAGTGTCCTTGCATAGGCCTGTATATTACCATTTTCATGCTATAAAAACTAGCCAAGAGGTTTAAGTGTACCTCTGTACTATCTCTCTAGCTTTCTCAGCTAACATAGGAAATGTGTTTGTAGAACTCACATCAGAGCTGTTGGAGATGAGCTCCCTGAGAAAGATTTCCTTGTTGGAGTAGAAGGTGTTAATGATGAGGGACATCAACTGGGCGATCTCCGCCTGGAAGGCGAAGGTCTCAGTCTCTTCATCCATGGTCGGACCAGTTGTTTCTCCAGGCATCTGTTGTATGGGAAGGAAAAAGACACGATGTTATTAGGACATGTGCCGGAGGGGATTCTAATTACGTGACATCAAAAATGTTAAGTGTCCTGACCCAGCAGGTCCCAACAATGCAACCCAAAATAACACAAACCAAGAGAAAAATAATTTAACCGATCATTATCCGGGCATTATGGTGCAGGCCTGTAATACAGTGCACGTTGGAAAAGATGGTGGACCAAGCAGAATTGCAAAATCCTAAAAATTACCAAGCTGCATTGTAACCATGAGATGCCCAGTACATCAATTGAATCCTGTGCAGACCAGCACTTGTATGCATGGTGGGGTTTTCTTCGGTTACGCTGGCCCTCTCAATGGAAAAAAAATCCGAATGCAGGCTCTGCTCAAAGTATTTGTAGACTTCCCTGGACAATAATTAAAAGTTATAAAATGAGTTACCTGCCATATACCACCAACACCGTTCCTCTACTCATGCAGGCAGTTGTTAACATGTAACACCATTGCATAAATAGCATCCATAAACCTTCTACAGCCAACTCACCCTCGATACGATTTGGCTCAACGTCTGAAATACGCACCACAAAAATAACGTCCTGCGAAACCTCGCATTAGCCGAGCAACCAATCTCCCCTGTAATGTATAGGAGGGGAAAATCTGCAGTAGCACACACGGGGGCGTTGTTGTGTGACGTAGTCTGTTGATTCGGCTAAGAGGCAAAGTGACGAATCGCGCCGCTCATCATTAAGCATGCGCCGCACTTCCTCTTTCAACCACACGGCACTACTGCCCCCCCTCCATTTAGCTGATTATTCATTCCTATCAGGCAACACACAAACAGCCGTTCAAAGACCCAGCCCATTTCACGAGTAATCCATTATCGCTCCTGACGAACGTGTTATCATGCGTCTGACAAGACGCGGATGCCACATTTCATGGCTTACCCCGCCCCGGTGCGGTCCTAACGCCCCTTTAATAATGCAGTTACGAAATAATCCGGTTAGGAAATCCCGTCTTTATTATAAATGTACACGGTGTATTATATTTTTTGAACCGAACACACTGCATATCCGTTGAAAAGACTTCACACACGAATGGAACTTCACACAGCAAACGTTGCGTGTGACCAAAACAAATTGTCGCAAACACCACACGTGGTTAAATGATGGGCATTAATTCATTAATACGCCACTTTGCTGCGGATTTAAGGCTCCGCTTGGCCTATCACATAAGCGGTAGTCGCTGCTGCTGCTGCATCCACCAATGTAGAAGCGGCGCGGGCTGAATGGCGCATTGCAGCAGCAGCCGCCCCTTGTAACCAAACCACGTTTTCCCTCTCCTTTGTTCACAGAGGCCTCTCCTCCCCCCCCTCTCAACGTCGACGGGCGTGACACTTTCGCAAGAAAATAATACACATTTTATAAGAGAAAAAACCCCAGTAAGACTTGCGTTTAACAATAATCATTAGCACAGCGACCCGCTTCGCGTCGAAGCCAATCTTACGGGGCAACTCTTCCTCGGATTGTCCGGCCCTTTAAAAACGTACAGAGTATTATTTCTGAAATGTAATGTATTTTTTGGTTGGGCAAAAAAGTACGTCAACCGGGTTTAAGGCCCTTAACCTGAGCTTTAAAACAATATCCATCCCTTTTTTTCTTCTTCATTAAACGTTAATTTAAAAAAAAACCACGGTGTCACGCGCACGTTTTTACTCGCGTGGGACCGAGATGGCTGCGGTTCAGGTTGGTGTCGAAGTCACCACCACCGACTCAACTCGACAGATAATTTAAAAAAATTACACATTGTATGCAGAGAAGATCGAGTTATTTAGACGTCCACGTTGATTATTACATTTTGACGCAGGGTTGTCCAATTTGCGAATTCGCCGTCAAAGCCAAACGGCAAGGGCCGTCAATTGTCACAACACACAATCGATGTTTGCAATTCCGAGTTTTTACTCCTTTATCTTAAGTCGATTAACGTGGGGAGGAGAAAGCAAAAGCTTATCCCGTGGCACAGGCGGAAGCACGGATTTAACCAGAGCCCCCACGTGCCCGCACGCGAGCGCACACCAACTAAAACAACTCCCGCATTAAAACCACAAGCGTCGCCGAACACACAAAAGCACGCTCACGAACACATCATCTACGCGGCGTTAACTAAAAGCCACAATCGTTAAACGATGTTTCTACCTCGGTTAAATTTTCAAGCCACAGACCGCGCGTGCCGTCAAGGCCGCTTAACACGCGGCAGCGTGTCAACGACTAAGGCAGATTTCTCAAAGACGAAAAAAAACAACCTTTAAAAAAATCAACAATTCGACGTCAACCCGCGATTACTTTACGAATGAAGATTTAAACAAAAAAATGAACGAGTCGAGTCCTCGGTAAAAACAAAAGCGAGCGTGGCGCGCGATGGGAATACGGCGAAGGCGAGCGTCGAAGGTGGGCCTCCTAACCTTGACGAGGCGTTGCGAGCACCGCGGGCGGGAAAGGCGCAGAGGAAGAGACGGAGCCGCGCGCTCGCTTCTCATGGGCCGCGTGCCGCCGCCGCCGCCGCGTATCCCTCCGCCAAAGATCCCGCAGGACCGCCGAAAACGCGCGCTCGTCGCCAAACCCGCGCGATCGTTTGATTCGCGCTCAGGGGCCGGTACCGTCGGTGTCTTCAGTTTCCGAAAATCGGAGATTTTTGCCCTCCCCCCCGGCGTGGAACGCTTAGGAAGCCGGGGATTATTTCTCGTCGGCGGAGGGGAAACCTCGGGAGGAGAGTCGGCTTTTCTAGAAGGTTCTCGAAGACACCCACCCGCTTTGCACTGGAAGTAGTTCACGCCCCCCCCCATCCTCCCAGCCCCGCGTGGCCGTTGGCCCCGCCCACTCCCTACCCGCCCACTCCCTACTTGGCCACATCCGCATCCGCTCCCCCACCCGACCAATCAGAATTTGGCATCGGCGTAAAGCTGAATTTGTGCTGCATCATTCAAGCCGTGGTGGGTGCCAAAATCCACTGCTGGATGAAGGCCACCTCACTTTAATTACAACAAGAGTTTACGCCGAAGTCTAAATTCAGTCATTCGCAAGAGCTACGTTGTGTATTGGGGTTTTTTGGGGGGGAAGAAAAATATCCATTCTGCTCATTAATTGATGCACTGTGACAAAGTGTAAATTAAATATTGGTATTGTGGGTGTATGTGACCCTTGCCATAGCAATGTGGAATTTCCAACACTGCGCTTTTGTAAACATCAATAGAACACAGCCTCCGCGTTCGTTTGAGTAGATACCATTTGACCACTACATACAATAATATGTAAATACAGTATAAAACAAATTCCTCCATTGTTATAGTATGCCTTCGTACTGGTTGACTTAGCCTTAAATTAATTTTCAGCTCAAACCCTCTTGCAGGTCTCCCTTGCAAAGAGATGAGTCTCTACGTGGGATTTTATATGATTCAGACCAATCTTCTATTCAAAATGGCACTGCGGTATTTGGTATTCATTTATGTCTAGAATCTGAATGAATACAAGTGATGGATGACAGAAAAAAAATTGGGCTTATGAGATCAGTTTATGTGCAGGAGTGAGATGGTTTGTGGCATCATTGGCCCATGAGTTGTGTGGCCTTCATTACTGAGTGGTAACCCACGGCTGATGTCATTGTTTACGAGATCTTAAGTAGGATATGGACGAAGCTAACATTACGACATTGGCTTCAGATAACAGCGATACTATAGAAGCATAAAGTACCATGATCAAAATGTTTTCCGTTTAAAAAAAAAACACTCGTGAAGCGGTGGTGCAGTGGCTACGAACCCAGCCACCTGTGTTTGATTCCTGGCTACGGCTAACATCAGTGGTGAACAATATCTTATTCGGTCCTGGTACCCCCCCTTTGCCAGTCTGCACTGTGATCAGCACGAAGTATGGTTATCAATCCATCTGACCAACATGGCGGGAAAAGACATTCATCCGGCAATTTATTGACAATAGTTTCTCAAACACAAAAGCGAAATTAAATTAAACTAATATTCCACTAAATCATTTTTTTCAATAGTTTACAAGTTCTAAAGTGTATTCCCAGTTACTTCGTGACAGCACCCAACAACAGATATAAAATGGTGTTAATTTGCAATGTGATTCAGCTCAGGACAGATTTGAATGAGATCATGGATGCATTAACGCATGGCAGGAACTGCCCGGAGTATCGGATCAATACAATTGGCAGACTTAAAAAGAAAATAGTTATATGATGTCACACCATCTGGGAAAATACTGCATTTGCTACAAATATGTGGAATTTTTGTCATGCATAAAACATTTGATAGCCTCAAACAACATAATTTACATCTTCTTTGCAAATACTAGACAGGATGAATGCCTCCCCATGATGTGTCAGTGATGGGAATTGTTTCACCACACTACTTCAACCACACTGGGTTTTCTGCACCCGTTTCAGATGTCTCACCATTGATGTTCGCCGTGGCTAGGAATCAAACTCAGGTGGTCGGATTCATAGCACATTGCACCAACCACTGCGCTATGAAGCGGTGAAGAGGTTTGAAGGAAGTTGCCGGATAAAAATCATGACATGAAGAGGTGAACAAGAGCAGGCGTTTGGAAAACTGAACTCCATAATGAAAAGGAACATATAGCAATGTGCCTTAAGAAGAACTTGTTTATTCACTCGTGTTCATTGTCCGCGATGGTAGTTGGATTAAAACAATACATGAACAGTGACAGAGAATATGGAACATATGCATGTAAATAATAATAATGATAAAGATGTGGATTGCGTGCATGAATTTAATATACTTTGCACTACATTACATTAAGGACAAATATCACCATAACCGTTCAACCACTGAAATCTAATCTGTAAAATGACGAGAAAGCACACAATAATAAACCGGACAACCGCGAATTTCACACAAGACGCACACAATGGTGTAGAACACACACAGACGTTTGTGGATTATGCAAGAAACGCTGATGGGTTTGTTGCATTCACAAATGGCAGCGTGTTGTGGCATGATATTTGACGCTATGTTTGATTATTTCTACACGTTCAAAAATCAACAACATATTTAATAAACGTATTTAATGTCCTTAATTATCGATAACATGAAATCGACAACATTCAATCACTAACTAAAAATGTTACGTTTGTTGTACATATAAAAATAACTAATAAACAACGTTTGCTTATTGACAATATAAAAGAATGTACCGTATACGTTTGATAATAGAGAACATTAGATCAATAGGTTTTTAACAAGTTCAATATTATTATCAAACGTATATCAATATACAGTACTAAGATACATCATGCCAGTTGTGGGGTTTGTTAAATTGAGACATTCAGCACTACCATCAACACCACTAGATGGCGCTACTTAGTCAATACATGGCGACAGTGATTATGTATCGTGTACGGTATCCCGTAAATACATTCTTGCCATTTAAAAAAAAATACACAATGCATCTGATCGTGCGGGTAAGGATCAATTAATTTACAATGCATATGAAAAACGTTAGGGTAATGGAGCGAAAGTAGACAAACGATAATAACGCATTACTGTAGTCGAGTTCACTTACACGTCGAAGAATACGTTTAAAAAAATCAATGAGTCTACAAGAGAGCTGTTTCCACTGCTAAAAAACATAAAACGCAATGTAAACAAAGCCAATCGACGTCTAAACGGCTCATAAACGGGCGTCACTGATTGGCCGAGGGCACGGCTCAGGCCCACTTAAGAGCGCTCGGATTGGCCGAAATTGGCGCTCCGCGTGCACAACGTAAACACGTGACCGCTAATCAAAACGTGAACGTTCGTCGAAACCATATGGGGTCTCATGGGAGGCGAAACGTTAACCGAAAAAAACGTTAACCAATGAGGGACTAACTGTATTTTAGTCCCATTGTCATAATTCATCGAATCTCTGGGGGTTGTTACAAGACTGTTGCCAATTCGAGCGATTTTGTCCCGAGGTTTTATCGACTTTTGGGTTTCCCCAGTGACCTACTGGCGACGTGTCGTCAAACGGAATAGCGTCACACCTAGCAACTGTCCGGGACGAGGACATGGCACAGATATAGGAGAAACGGCAGGTATTTATTCAGGCTGGCGAAGAGATGGACTGATGCGGGACGGTACGATGCGGAGCTGAGCTGAGTGAAATTGCCGAAGACCGGTACCAGCGGTGTCAAGATCGGCCTCTATGGAGGAGACTCGTGAAGGATGCTACTGGGCAGTTGGGGGCAGTCGCTCTCCAACAACAACGTAGGGTGGAGCAGTAACTCTCACAACAGCGAGCAGAGTGCCGGGCTGCTAAAATGTAGCACGTTGGCACAGTAGGGGGTACGGCTGATGAATTTGTTAGTCATCTCAGTCAGCCAACCCGTCACCTCCTCTATAAGTGAGCTTTCGACACTTTACATCGTCTCAAAGTGCACCTGGCCTGGCACAAACGCCGTGGTGACGTCACCGTCACTTAGTGGCGAATGGCGGGTTATTGGTATGTGTTCAGGATCCTGCATACGTTTGCTATGCGTTATACTCGGTCAGTTGTTTATTGACATTTCATTTTAGACATCTAGTGACTGTAAGGTTCACAATCGATGAACCTGTGCCCTTGGACGCTTCAGTCTACCATGTGCTCTGTTAAGTGCTTATATTATTGCGTATTACATTGTGTCCAGAAACTAAATGCCAATGTAGAGGTCTGCTACCCAAGACGAGAGGGGTTCAGGAGAGGGTTTGTGTCGTTTTGCTGTTCCATCTCCGTTGAATGGGCGCAGGATAAATTGGTTTACTATATGGTCCATAGTTTGGGGTTGCATGGCCACAATTCATGATTCCTGTTATCTAGGGATTTTTGAAAAGAACCTCCTTACTTTCTGAATTCATAGATTCGCCAGCAGGAAACAGCTCAGAATTAAGCCACATTATACGTGGCAACCAAAACCACTTGTATAATATAAGAATATCAATCAGTACTGCAGATCGATACTCGTTAACAAAATTTTTTTGCAAAACAAAAGTTAAGTAAAAACCAACCAAGTAATGCAAACAATATAACGTGCGCCAGGAGGAGGTAAAGGTTATATGACCGTTAACTGGACAGTGGCTCAACGGAGCTCGGTAGCAAGTGTCCTTCGGTATGTTTTCATTTTCCAGCTCATAATCGCCTTGGCTTCAAGCTCAGCAGGTAATGTGAGCTAGTGAGATTACATTTACAGAGCGAGCAAGTTTCTCGCCACACTTTCCTTGTTGATAATGTCGATGACCATGGGTTAAGCAGCCACACTCCACATTACAGCTGTTTCAACTCTCTCTCGCTCTCTTCCCGACATGATATAAAAACCGACATCGCCTAAGTTAGAAGGGCACATTTTGTATTTGACATCCTTTGGTTGACTCGCAAAGCTGCGGCACAACGACCCTGGACACTCGGTCGAGCGGATTCATGTCCGCCCTGATGGTCATCTCATCGTCCATCCGTCCATCTGTCCAGGTACAGATGCTCACCGTTGTCTTTCTCGGTGTCTCGCAGGGTGATTGCTCTGTTGCACTGAAGCCCTTTCTGGGTCACAGTTGCTTCTCTTCACGGTAGCACCGCCGGCTCAGATGTGGAGCATTCGCCTGTCGTAAGCTCTTAAAATTACTGTAAAAAAGGCACTCTGCGGTGATCTGCTTGAGGGCGTAATGTAAAAAAAAAATAGGATTTCAAAACGGAAGCGAAGCATTCAAACTAAGCTGGTCGATCCTCAGAGGAAATGGAATACGACACGGCTTGACTAACAGACATCTCCTCTAAAAGGCTAACACGTACCTTTCGGTACACTAAGTAATGTTGACACGGTACTTAAAACGTGCTTTCAACTCTTGAAGAAATACTTGAAATAATACTGAACAGGCTATGGTGTGCTAATTATTATATTTACTCAGTTAACCGAACACAATGGACCTGGGGTACACATTGCATCTGCGGTGTCTTCATCACCTCCTCCTCCTCTTCCTCCTCCACCCCTCAGGCCCCACGCCCAAACCTCCCTCTGCCCTTCTTCCTCCTCTGCTCAGAGCAATGCTCGGAAGACAAAGGAGGAGGCAGCACCGAGGGCGAGCCCCAGGGAAAGGAAGAACATCATGACCGTTCCTGCTGTCTCCGAGTCGGGTCCGCTCAGCCGCCTGGCGCGCACAGCACAGACACGTGGTTGTGCGCATGCACGGCACCCTTTAAGCAATCCCCCACTATTCCGCGAGGGTCCTGCGGGGTTTTTTTTTACCGTACGTGAGCATACTGCTCAGTGTGGGTTGATGAAGGTGGGGAGCATACATGTGGGAGTGTAGTATAGGGTTGGTCCAGATGTCCTGTGAACCCCCCCCCATTTAATTCTCTAAAACGTGTTATTTGTTAAGTTAAGTTTATTTCAAACAGAAAATAATATACGTGACTTTACCGAAAGAACCAAAGAGTATGGCTCATTGCAGTCACGAAATCTAGAATGATATGTTAGGGGCCAATCAATTGGGGGGTGGGTCACAAGATATCTGGACCACGCTGTACAGAACAAGGCATTTGTGTTTAATTCACTGTGTTACGTCATCTGGTTGTGTGGCTCAGCAGGCAATGTTATTATCGCTAATTCATTAATTTCTATCGCTAGTGGGGTGACACACTGCGCCCCGGGAGCTCCGAATGAATTCGTATTCTCGCCGGACAAAATCGGCGGGGGGGGGGGGGGGAAGATACAACAAACGTGATTTAAATAAAAAGCACCGCTAACATGAAGGCACATGACCTTCCTTGCCCACACTATCGATGAAGATGACTGACAATTGTAATGATGATTGTGATAATGATGAGGAAGATTGTGACAATTATGAAAATGATTGTGATGATTATGACGATTGTAACAATTATTATGATGACGATTGTGGCGATGATGACGACGACGATCAAGGTCACCTTTCCCTGCGCACTCGCGCGACCGCTCGCTCACATTGTTCCGAAGCACACGAAAAGGCTGGCCAGGTATCCGTTGCTGAAGGCGAAGAGGATCATGAAGACGATGTAGGCGGCGTCGTGGTGGAAGAGCACCGGGAGGGAGCGGCTGTCGGGGCTCGCGTTGCACAGCATGAAGAGCGGGATGAAGAGCGAGCGAGCGCACACGAGCACGGGTGGCAGCCAGCTGCTCGACTGCACGCGCGGCACCGTCATCATCGTCATCGTTGTCGTCGTAGCCATCGTCGTCGTCATAGCCATCGTCGTCGCTGTCGTCGTGATCGTAGTCAGTGCGGAGTGGAAGTGCGACGGTTAGCGCCGCGCTGCGCTACAAACCCGGCGGCCCGAGTTCGATTACCGCTCACGGCCAACACCGGCCAGTGACGATTATTATTATTTGAATTCGTCATGGCTCTCCCCTAGGTCGACTCAGCCTAGAATGAGTACCTGGTGCGATGTGTAAACATCGCCACGACGGAGAGAAAGGCGGCCGGGCGTGGCGTTGGCCACCCACCCCCTCGCGTGCCGTGCCGGCCTTCGTAGGTGCTACTCGCTGACGGCACTTGCCCCAACAGTCTTTAAAGGCTATTCGGGGGGGAATTTGTCTTTGTTAGCATTGCCATCAGCCCCGTTACCGTCAACGTCGTCATCGCTGGGATTGCCATCGTCGCCGTTATCGTCAAAGTCGTCATAGTCACCACCACTGTCGTTGCCGTCATCACGATCACAGTCATCGTCTTCATCATCACCATCATCATCTCATTCATTGTTGTCATCTTTGCCATCATCATTACCATCATCGCTGTCGTGAACATAATCATTCCCATCATTATTCTTGTCGTGATCATCATCGTTGTCATGATCACGGTCATCATTATTTCTATAATCACGATCATCACCATCACTTGTTATCATAATGCATGTCATCATCAGCCACGGTCTATCCACCGCTGGGATGCCGTGGTCGGTTTGCGGGACTCACGATCATGAAGACAGCCGTGGCGCTTCGCCCGGCCCAGTCGAGGATGTTGAAGAACAAGAAGCACCACACGGGCACAAAGAACCGGCCTGGGCACGGCCAGGGAACATGTAGGGTGGTGGGGGGGGCATGGAGCCACGGTCAGTGACACGGGTGAGGTCGAAAGTAGGGTTAGGGTCAGATTTAGTATTAGAGGCGGGGTCAGTGTCAATTGGGTTAGGGCCAGCGTTACCGTAAATATTAAGTTTAAGGTCAGGGTTCAGGTTTGTCTCCTATCTATTTGTATGGTCAGTATTCAGGGTCACAGAACAAACGGATGGTTTTGATCGGGTGAAATTCTCACCGACCGTGGTGCGATTGAATGACAATGATGATTCTTGACTTAAAGCTTTCGTGACTGCAGGAATTCATATTCTTTGGGTCTTTCGGTAAAGTGACGGAGATAGGTTCAAATAAAAACCTATCTATGTGACTTTACCAAAAGACCCAAAGAAGATGATGATGATGATGATGTTGGGGTGGCGATAATTATTACCGCGTCACAAATTATGATAACCGTACGCATTTCTGCGATGGCATTTGTTTGGGACATCCATCGTGGGTCGGTAATCATCTCTGTCCTCTTGGGCAGCAGGGGCTTCGAGGGGACGAGAGAGACAGAGCGATCCGTGTGAGTGCGTTGCTCATTTTGTCTCACGCCACGTGGGATCCTGGCTGGAGGATTGAACTCCCGCTGTCACGGCCGGGAAGACCGCGAGGGTCACCGTGTACACGAGACACACGCAGATCGCCATGGGCCAGATCTACCACACACAGACACAGACAAAGACCCCCCGTATAACCTTAACAGGATGTAGAGGAAAGTGCTGTTAGCGAGCACCTATAAAGGCCGGAACGGTACAACAGGGGGTGGGTGGCCAACACCACGCCCGACCGCCTATGTCTCCCCAGTGGCGATATTTACACACCGCACCAGGTACTCATTTGAGGCTGGGTCGATCCAGGGGAGGCCCAGGACAGGTTCAGATAATCGTCACTGGTGCTGGCCAGATCTACCACACACAGACACACACACACGGTATCAAGGACAACAACATCAATGACAACACCACCACCAACTATTGCCGAATATCCAATGTAAACTGGACGAGATGCCTACTGGATCTGTGCAAAACAGCTTCATAGGTCATCGGATTCCTCCAGTCTAAATACAGATTCTGATTCTGAAATGTTTTATAATAGGCCTTCGTCAATCAGTGTTGTTCACTTGGTTCTAAGTTTTTTGGGAAATCGATAAGATGGGTAAAAATGTATACATCCTTCCACAAAGCGTATCCAACACTGCAGCAAGGTGAATAGGCATGTACCCTTTACGGGTTTGTTGACGAAATACGCTTGGGATGTATGTATGTTGAACTTCTTTCGCACCGTACGTAGCCAACCGTGCTAATGGGGATGCAGCGAACGAGTGTGACGTCGAAATAGGCTACATGTAACGGATTCCATGCAATCACGTACAAAGAAAATGTGACTTCAGCTTCGCACAATGGTTTTGTCTGCTTTGTTAGTCTAAATGTAACATTAGCATATAATCATCAACCGCGGGTGCCACGGTGGCGAGATGTTAACTCCCTTGCCTGGTATACAGAAGCTCGTGGGTTCGATCCTACCCTGATTCCTGCTGTATATTGGAGTTTGCATGTCCTTTCCCGTGGTCGCGTGGATTTGTCTCCGGGTCCTCCGATTATTTCCCTCCACATTTAGAAACATGCGCATATAGTATTTGGCTGCTATACAATGGCACGTGATAATCCACTTCTTTAGAACTGTTTTTGCGTGTGTCTAGTTTGTTGTCCTTCCCCCGCACCTCCGATTAGCACGGTTGGCTACGTACGGCGCGAAAGAAGTTCAACGTCCATACATAACAAGCAATGTATATCGACGACTCGCGCCGTGAGCGCAATCACCGATGCCAGTCGAAGAGTCGGCGCGTCGTTACGCGCCTGCACCGCTTGTCGCGGAGCCGCGCGCTCACCTTGAAGAAGACCTGCACCACGGACATCTTGAGAGCGGAGCGGCTCGCGGGCGAAGGCTCCTCCACCATCATGACGCCGACGCCGGAGAGCCCTTCCCGGTCCCTCTCATCTGCGGAGCAGCACCCATCGCTGTGATCCCGCACGGCCAGAGCATCGCACAGGATCCTCCTTGCGCCTTGCGCGGTACCAATGGTGCCTGTCATGCTGCGATGTGCTTCAAGGGATCGAGACGTCACGATCGCGGCCAAAGCCGTTGATGCCGACACGCTTCGCCAACGCTCTCTCTGTACCTCTCCTGATGCCAGATTCCACAGCTTTTGAACGGTCGCCACGCGATCTCCAAATACAGAATTGGGGTAATGTCATCATCACGTGGTCGATACATTAGTACTATGTTGTGATGAGCGGACAGTGGCTGTATTATGTACATACGGTTACTTACTCGGGGTCGAATGAATCACACCCCCTCCCACTCACCATGATTTTATGAGTTTCTGAATCGTCACGATTATTATTTTTACATTTTGGCGACTATATCGGCTTATAGTGGCTGTCGAGGTGACGTGAACTCATTACAATCAGAATACTGTATACGAATCGGGGGAAAAATCAGTTCTTACACAATGTGGTTTTAGACTCTTAAAGAATCAGTGTTTATCTGTGAATCGGGAGGCAACGGGTGCATTAAATGTCACATTAAATAACCGGGAATTAATTTATCGAGAAATGCTCGCAGGTAGTTTCTGAATAAGTCTTACTTGTAAGTGTTTTTCGGCAAACAACTGCCCAATGCACGTGGTAACTCAAGTAGCCGCGCAGGGAAATTATTTTTTTTGGGGGTCCGGGAGAAATTAGGCCAACTCAAGCCAAAAACTCGAATTGCCTCGCGTTGGCTCTCCCATGGAAACCAAGTATGTGACTCACGTAATTGCCGCACACAGAGCGGCGGCGGGGGGGGGGGGGGGGGGGGGGGGGGGGGGGGCTCCATATAAGGAGGGAGTGGATCCACACTGAGACACTCAGTACCAGCAGGTGGCATAGATTAAAGATAATTGAGATAATGATCTTAAGCTGTTGGTAATTGCCTCCAGACACCAAGCGCTGTTTAATCGTGCCCAGCAAAAATTGTTCATGTTGTTTACAACATAAAACTCAAACCATGGGACAAGTGGCATCATCATAACCATCATCATTAACCTTTCGTTAAATTACGAAATTAACACGTGGGCAGGTAAATGAGTTTATTTCATTGCCAAAATTAAACAACACTGAACCGACATCGATGATGATGAGCCATTTTGATCAATGCACAGTATTTTGGTAAATTAATTATAAGTTATTTGATGTTACCCAAAAAAGGTAATGCTTTGCCTGCTCAAATTCCATCCGAATATTGCACAATAAATATCACAAAACCCTGCATCTGAGTGCACCTATATGAAACGCTTTGCCGGTCTGCAAGGGCTACAACGATGCATGGATTTATCGATGAACGTCGATTCTTTACATAATTCTACAGCAAAACGAGTCCCTTGTGTGATCACCTCTCTAGCGAATCGGACATAATTCGCCTCTGTTGGCTTATAAAAAAAATCCGTGCTACTCGAGTTTTGCACACCGAAGGTGACACCGATCCCTATGGTGCATGGAATAGGCGTGAAGGGCACTCACCTGGTGAGATGAGTCCGGGATTTCCATCAAGGTCTCTGCAGGGGGTCAGGTAATACCTGGCAAATGCCTGGGCGCTCACGAGTGCCAGGAAAGAGTGAGTCAGTTTTCCGATAAAGTGATGAAATTACTCCACTCACACGAATACAAAATGATCTCTCCTTATTCTGCGTCATGTTAACGTACGGACTTTTTGTCATTCCACTGCTGGATGAAGGCCTGTCCACCTGGCAGCCCGAATCCAACAACAGCAACACCGAGGCAGCCTCCCATCCAGGCACTAAAACTAAATTTATTTTTTAAATACTCATTGTTTTTTTTCGGTAAAGTCACGTATGTAGAAATACCATAAAATTATATAATTTTATTATATGGTATTTCTACATACGTGACTTTACCAATGACTAATTTTATGCAGTCAAGAAAGCTTTAATTTCTTTTTTTTTAAATGTTTATTTTAGCAAGTAACACCCACTGAGCTATACAGCTCTTTTTTTCAGAAGCGACCTGGCCACAAGTAACAGCTCAACGAAGTGACTTGTCGCGTGCACACGTGACAGCGGCAACCAAATCCTCGAAAGCGCGTGACGCTCATCCCAAACGTCGAGGGGGGGGGGGGGGGCGGAAAAAAAACAAACCCCAAAGCGCGACCCCTGTTCGCTTCTGGGACCTGATGCGACCGAGCACACTTCTCTATACGCGCCGGTGACTCTCCTCCGGTCGGTCATCTAGCCACCGGACTAATCAACGACGTCTTTATTATTACTATTACTACCGCTGCCAAAACAATGCACTGCAATAACATCCTGGCCGCGGCGGTGGGGGTGGGGGGCTCAAAAAGCGCCAGTGACGATAGTCTGGACTTCGGGGAGAGGTGGGGGGGGGCTTCACATCCGGCCACGCGGTCTCTGCGGAGTCGTCGATGCCATTGTGTGCCGGCGTCGAGGCTAAATGTACGCGCGCGCGATTCATTTTTTTTCTAACAGAGATTTTAGAATGTTTGTTGTTTTCTCTTCCTGGCAGACGGCCCCCTAAAATTAGACCGCGCGGCGAAGGTTGAGAGGTCGCGCCCTGCATCGGCGTGGGCTTTCCCGGAGAATTAAGTTAAAGCGGTGTGCCGTACGCATGCACGTATGTTGAACTACATTTTTGGCGCCGTACGTAGCCGGCCGCGCTAACCGGAGGTGCGGGAAATATGTCACGCGTCGTGTGTCATTTTGACACGTCCTCGGTCATAATGTATAATATGTCATGTACCACGCATGATGTCATATGTCATGTGTAAAATGCCAAATGTAATGTCATGTGTAACAAGTGCCCAGAGACCTGCGTCATGTGTTCTGTATTCTGTAACATATGTCCTATGTTCTGTGTCGTGTGTCCTATGTCATGTGATGCTCCGAGACCTCACCAGCTCGGGACCGTGAGCTCACCAGGTGAGACAGGGACAGGTAAGCCACGATGGCCACCAGCGTGACCACACACGCGGTCACAAAGTATCCAAACACGCTGTCTCGCTCCTCTTGTGCCCCTGCTACACGGACAGACGGACATGCAGGCAGCGAGACAGACAATCATGCAGGGAGCCAGGGAGACAGTCAATGAGGCAGGGAGACAGGCGGACAGAGAGGCATGCAGGCAGGCAGAAAGATAGACAGCGAGACAGGTACGGAGACAGAGAGACAGTCTACGTGGTAAACACATTGACACAGCATACACACACACACGAAAGGGCAGTTATGTAAGAAGCATGAACTCCGGTTTTGAGTTGGACGCCACACATATCAACCGTTGCCAATTATAATTCCTGAACTCGGCTCTTTGAACCTGGCCACGGAAGCAAGGAACCATTTGGAAAGGTTAAATTGCTCCCACGCGGGCGGGGGGGGGGCTGAGTGTGTATGGTGGGGGTCGGAAAGTCTCAGGATTTACCCGGAATATGCCCCCCCCCCACTGACCCCCCCTGTCCCCCCCCAACTACCCCCTCCCAAATACCCCCCCCTAACTGCCCCCCCTCCCCTGTTGTTCACCTTCCTCACTTTGCCCGACCGCTCGTCAAGTATTCATCATTTGTTTCACAGATCTTTTAACCTTGGTTCTTTCAATTATTCATTTGCGAATACGCTCACCAGTCGTTCAATCACGACGTAGTTCACCACTCATTTAATTTCCCATTCAATCATGCGTTAACCTGTAGCCTTCAATCGTTCATTCAATCGTTAGAGTTCACCATTCATTCAATACGTTTTTCATTCAGTCATTGCTGGATTCATCGTTCGTGATGTGAGTCTTTTTTTGAAGCAAGAGCTGTATTTGTGAACGCTTCCCCTTCCGTTAACCACATACACACGATCAATACGATTCGTTCAATTGTTCATCGTTAGCTCAATAAATCCTTCATTCGTTCATCATGTCGTTTGAGAGGCAAACGATCATTCACCCCAAGTGGCCCCACGAATTGACGAAATGCCACGATCGGGGGAGAGGCTCATGGTTCCATCATGCATGGATTCCAACGCTCAGAGGAGATATATATATGTGTGTGTGTGTTTGTCGGGTCCAGTTTGTGTTTTATGCAGTGTTCGCTCCGTCTCATTCATTCCATTGAGCTCACGCGATGGAGGACACGTCCCGAGCGTCACCTGACTTCACGCGGCTCACGGCCACATGACGCCGAGCCGCACTACTTGGGCACCAGAGGGGAGGAGTCGTGACATTGTCTACCCGTGGCACCGTGGGTTTGTTATCCTAGTGCAGTGCACTCAGTCCCTTCGTGCTGCGTGCGTACCAACCCACAGTCATTCCTGTGACCGCGAGGGGCCTCGAGCAGCGAAGAAGTAGCCGTGGCGTGCGATGTGTGGTGTATGCGTGTGCGTGTGTTCACGTGCGATCAACCAAAGGTTTTTTTTTAGAGTCAAATTTCACCCTGAACAAGGGGGGATACGCCCCCCCCCCCCCACACGCCTGCGTTAGCCCCAGCGGTAACGCTTCGCATAAGACTCGCGCGCGATTTGCGTGCACGTCCTTAGGCAACACGTGCCCGAGCGCGTGCCCGATTCGAGGGACGTGCGTGCGTCGTGAGCACTGCCATGAGTTTAAAGCGATAAAGCGATTCAACAAATTACCCTTATGGAGGGACCCCGGGGTCCCACAAGCCCCCGGCTCTAGCATAAACTGCGTTGCGACGTCATTTTATGTCTGTTGAAGGCGAACGATAAGGGCAGTCTATACCTCTCGACGAGCTCTACACGATGCGCTAATCAAATTTTCAAAGTTTTTGTTTGTGACTACGGCAATTTTGGCAACGACGGGTGCTTGGTGAAGAACGAGGAGAGGATTGATTGCTGGTGGGTCGCGGCGTTTATGTGCGCGGTGGGACGGAGTCGCCAAAAATAAATGAGTTAATTACGATTTTTGACTTCCGTTTATTCGGGACCCCGGGGTGCCGCCGTAAGGTTCAAATTGTGCATCTGACGGGGAAGGGGGCGGGGAGGGAGGGGCTGGGAACGTCACAGTGGTGGGCACGCTGCGTCACAACCCCCGTGCTTAACTCGCTTCGATTTCCCGGCCACGGCTGACGTCAGTGGCGCGTGACATCCGGACGAATAGGACCCAGGTCGTCACCTCCCCCCCCCCACATCAGTGGATTGACAATGGGCTGTGAATTATTATTATTGGGACATTGTTTCTCTGGAGGAAGGGAGCCCTGGGACCCAGTTTTATATATATAGTCCAGCGTAACTCGCAGACAGGATGTACACAGTCGGCTACCCGTATTCACCGTGGCTTTCTCTCTCTTTCTCTCTGGTAAAATAATAATATACTAAATAACCAGGCTGTTCCGTACTAAACATTCATCACTATTTGATGGATTGCGATTACATCCAACGTATTCTACGGGCGGGGTATAGAGCTGTGGGACAGTGGTTAGCGCACTGCACTATGAACCGGGTCAACATGAGTTTGATTCCCATGCACGGCTAAAATCTGTGGCGAATGACACCTGGGCAAGTCGCGGTGCCTCCATCTCCTTCACCAATCTGTGATGACCCGCGTGGTGAAGTATGGTCAAACAACCTCCAAGACCAATGCAGCCTACATGGAGGCCTTAATTGTTTTACGTAGCGTACACCAATTTTGCTGTCCATGTTTCTGGGACATTATCGCACAATGGAGTTGAGCACAACAACCGTCGACGCTTTCTGCTGCCGAACACCGCCAGTAACTGGCTGTGACTGCCGGTGAGTGACCGGTCGTGAATGCCGGTAACTGGCCGTGACTAGGGTGACCGGTCAAGACAGCCGGTGAGCGACCGGCACTGGCTGCCGGTGAGCGAGCGGCCGTGACTGCAACTCACAAATCATGGCGGAGATCATGGAGAGTGCGGCGAAGACCCCGGCGATGCCCTGGCCGCTCATGAGCGCCGTTGTGTAGGGCACGGGCAGCAGTCCCACGAGGCCAAACAGGCTGCCCTGTAGCACCGCGCCAAACGCTGTGCAAAGTGCGACGGTGGGTGGATGGGTGGGTGGATGGGTGGGTGGATGGGTGGGAGGGGGGTGGGCAGCAGGGGAGGGGAGAGGAGGGTTGGAGGAGGGGAGGAGATGGGATAACATTTTTTTTACAAATATTACATAGAAAACAGGGGGAACATAGACGTAGAGTAGGGAGAGAGGGGGTAGCAAGAGGGGGGGGGGGGGGTAGAGAGAGAGAAGGAGGAGAGCATAGCGTGAAATCTTTTGTGAAATCTTTCATTTAAAAAGAGGGGGGGGGGGCACATAAAGCAAGGCATTGAAAAAAAACAAAAAAACGAAATGATGAACGAAGCAAAGTGCCGACTACACCGAGCATCTTCTTGTTTCCTCTGATCGTAAAAAAATAGAGCAGAGGGAGAAGGAGCGAAGGGGAGGGAAGGGGAGAGAAGAGGAAAGGAGAGGAAAGGAAAGGAGGGTTGGAGGAGAGGAGGGGAGAGGAGGGACGATTACAAGAAAGAGGAGATGAGGGATGAGAGGGGAGTGGAGAGGAGAGGAAAATACATTCAAGGAGAGAAGTGTGGGCAAAGGAAAAGAGAGCACGAGACAGCTGTAGTAGTAGCATCCTCATTAACTGCAGCAGCATTATCCTAATGATCACTTTCGACACCCGGATCCCATCTCGGCTCCACTCCACTCTTAGTGGCTTCGCTTCTGCTGGGGACCGGACCCCACGCGCTTGCAGGTGCGGCGTGCAACGTCCGAAACCGCAGCGTGATTGTGCCGCGGCCGTGGGTTATGTTACGGGAGATGCCGTCCATTCCCGGGGCCTCTCATTACCCACGACTGAGCTGTAACGCTCGGTCTGGCTCCGCTTACAACGGGTTGACGCACAATGACAGGGCCTGCTGGATAGGGCCACACGTAACAAGGCCTGGCTCTCATCTTGACAAAAATTCAGTATCAATGGATTAGTCTTTTTTTTGCAATTTTTTCTTATCTCTGTCCCCATCATCAACCAACAACGGGACAGATCAATCGATGCATTCATTAATTTCAGCGGGGCCCAGAAAAATATTTATGCACCCGGCACACCGCATCCAGTATACCTCTCGCTCCGGCTGTGGCAACGGGTCAACAGCCACCTACTCAGAGGCCAACAGCGGCCCAGAACATACCGAGTGGGAATTTGAATCCGTGGACGTATCACCGAGGCGACGGCCGTGATCGACAACGCAGCGGATTATCTTCAGCAAATGGGTCGAGTTGCAGGTGTTGCACAAGTCACGGCTGTTTCCCACCGGCCATGAACGTGCGCTGACGGCAGGCCATGCGGAACATCGCCCAGCGACGGAAATCCGCGAGCATCTCTCTCATTGTTTCCGCTCGGGGTGTCGGAACACGAGCGATGAATATCTGAACCTATTCCCGGGGCCCATCGTAGGTCGACTCAGCCGTACAAATGAGTACCTGGTGCCGTGTGTAAACATCGGTGTTGGGGAGACAAAGGCGGTCAGGCGTGGTGGTGTCTACACCCCCCCCCCCTCCTGTACGCCGTGTATGGCCTACGCTCGTTAACTGCACTTTCCCCGACAGCCTGTGTAGGCTACACGGGGGGGGGGGGGGGGGAGAATCTTCGTCTTTTGTTGCTTTGACGTCGCCTGCCGGCCGAGTCGCCCTTGAAAAAAGAGTTTCTTAGCTCGCCCAATGGGCTTCACTCGGGGAAAATAAACTTCTGAACTTCTGTCCGAGCGTGTGTGGTGTGGCGTTGGCCACCCACCCCCTCGTGTGCCGTGTCGGCCTTCATAAGTGCCCGCTAACAGCACTTGCGCCCGACAGTCTGTTGAGGCTATACGGGGGTGGGAGGGGGGGGGATCTTTATCTTTGTGTGACGCGCGCTCACAGTTGATGAGGACGATGGAGGCCATGGTGATGGAGAAGAAGAGCGACGGGCGGGAGTCGAGCGAGGCGACGCGCACCAGGGCCGCCGTGACCACGAAGAGGAGGAGGATGGCGACGAGGCCGGAGAGGACACGCACTCTCTGTGACACCCTGCGCAACGAAGACAAAGCTCCCCCGTATAGCCCTAACAGACTGCTGGGGGCCAGTGCTGTTATCGCGCACCTACGCACGTGTACGTTGAACTTTATTTCGCACAGTACGTAGCCAACCGCGCTCATCGGAGGTGCGGGGGAAGGACAACACGCTGAGGCTGGCACGCCACACGATGGGGTGGGGGTGCCAGCACCACACCCGGACGCCTTTGTCTCCCCTGTGGCGATGTTCACAGATCGCCCCAGGTACTCATTTCAGTACACACATACACACGTAGCACCCAGCACCATCACACCCAGCAACACACACACACAGCACTCACTTACCCACAAAGATTATCCACTCACTCACGTACTAACTCACCCACCTCCTGTCTCACCCACTCACGCACCCACCTACTCATTCACCCACCTACTCACCCGATCACCCACATACTGACTCACCCACCCACTCGTTCACGAATGTGGTCACCTACTCGCTCGCTCACTCGCTCACGTACCGACCCAGCCACCCTCTCAATCGCTCACCTCCCCTGCACACTAAAAACAAATGCTGAAAGAAATTCGGGTTCGTGTTTCTGTTCAAAGCCAAGTTGGTCATTCCATGAAATTCACCTAAGAATTACAATCCCCTGCCAATAAAATATAATTATCGTCGTGTCAGAAGGTTCAACGCTTTGCCAGCCTAACCCCCACGTCTTGATCCCATTCCTGAATCAAATTCCGTCTCCCCCCTCCCACCTTTCATCTCACCCCCCCACACACTCTTAGCTTAATCCATCATTCAGTTCACATACCACAGGTCACAAGTCGCAGGCAAAACTCTCTATAGGATATAACTTAAAAGTTACTTTGATCTTTCTTTCATTTTAACTAATAGTATCTGAAAATATTTACATTCAGGTTCTGGTTGTCACTCCGTGTTTCTTTGATCCTGTATTCCTTCCTCTTTTTCCGTCTCAGATCTCCCTTGCCTGAAGCTTGTGGTCTCATTTGGAGTTCAATATTTGTTTTTTCATTTTGCCCGAGGTTAGGGAATGACTGCGCTCTCAGCGTCACGTCATGGGTGACGAAGAATCCACGTGGAAGTCTCGCAGCGTTGTGCAACCGCCTCGCCCCCTTCTCTTTAGCTAATAGCACACAGAAGTAGATACTGGAGAACTACATATGAAATCGCCATGTCAATGGGATTTCTCAAAACTATGCTGAAAAGCCGACTGACTGACCTACCAACTTGACTGAGAAACCAAATAAATGACTGGCCCACCAACCAACTAAACCAGTTGACAAACTGGCTGACCAAACAGCTGACCGACTGAACGGTTGACCAGCCAGCTGACTGACCAGCTGACCGAGCCAAACAACCGACCAGCTGACCGGCCAATTCACGGACCAACTAACCCCACCGACCAACCCAATAACCGTCTGACAGACCGCAACTGACCGACTGACTGGTAGACAGACAAACTGATCGACCGATCGACCGACCGACCGACCGACTCGCCCACCGACCCGCGAAGCGACTGACCAGGCTGACTCTGTACCTGGCGTGCAGGAAGGACGTGAGGCAGGTGAAGACGAGCATGGGCAACATGGCGCACAGCGTCATGGCGTTGCTGAAACTCCTCTGCAGCGGCGTCAGGGGCCTGGGGCCCTCGCTGGAGTTGCCTCCCCGCGCCTCCACCTCGCCGGCCAACCGCTCCTCGAAATACTGCCAACGGGAAGGGGCAGCCACAGTCATCATCGTCGGCGGCATTATCAGCAGAATCAGCAGCAGCAGCAGCAGCATCATCAGCATCATCATCTGCAGCATCATCATCAGCAGCAGCAACATCAGCAGCAGCAGCATCATTATCAGCAACATCATTAGCATCAGCAGCAGCATCATCATCAGAATCATTATCAGTAGCAGCATCATCATCAGCAGCATCATCATTAACAGCAGCATCATCATCAGCAGCATCATCATCAGCATCATCATCGGCAGCAGCAACATCAGCATCAGAAAAGCTCTCCGATGTCTTTACTGGTTGCACCACTTGTTGTTGTTGTTCAGCACCATGTCCAACATTTTGCTCGGTGCTACAAACCCAGACACCGGAATTCAATTCCTGGCCCTGGCTCGGGTCAGTATCGATTGACATCTGAACTGGTCCTGTTCCTGCGCTAGATCGACTCAACCTCAGACGAGTACCTGGCGCTTTGTGTTTACATCAGTTCAGGGTGAGACGATAGCACCTCCGGTTAGCATGGTTGGCTACGTATGGTGCAAAAGAAGTTGAACATACATACCGACCGGGTGTGGTGCTGGCCATACTGCCCCCTTGAGTGCCGCGACGGCCTTCAAATGTGCTCACGAACGACACTCGCTCAACCAGTCTACGAAAGGCTACAGGGAGGGCGGCCTCTGCCTTTGTTTGATGGTGGTGAGGATGGAAGGGTGGCAGTAATGCTCACCTTGTTGGCAGTGATAAAGAAGTTCCATGGCAGCAGAGTTCCTACACCAAGTACGAAGAAGGCGAGCCACACAGCCCAGTATCTGCAATGTAAACACCACCATCATCAACACCGCCACCACCGTCATCATCAACAGCAGCACCACCATCAACAGCAGTACCACCACCAACGCCATTATCACCGTTATCAACACCGTCATCAGCATCACCACCAGCAGCAGCAGCATTATTTTATCATGCATTGGGACAAATATCTCAAAGGCAGGGTCCTCTTGAAAAGCGGCCTTGAGGCTCGGTGAGGATTTCCTGTATAAATAGATTACATCATCGGGATACAAGATATCGTGTTCACCACAAAGGCTGTGTGTGTGTGTGTGCCGTGGGGCGCATGACACACATCTGGATGGCGTTGTTTATGTATTTGTTGTCACAAAGAGTGGAGCGGCAGCGCCGTGGTTAGGGCACTGCACTAAATAAACCCGGTCACCTGAGCGCGATTCTCGGTCACGGCTAACATCAGTGGCGAATTATATCTGAACAAATCATACCACCCCCATCCGTTCACCAACCAGCACTGATCAGCGTGGTGAAGTATGGTCAAACAACCTCCATGCCCGAAACGCCGTGGGAAGGTATTCGTCCAGCAGTAGATAGATCATCGCTGACAATGTGCGTGTATTTCACCAATCCCTCATTGACCAGTGCAGTGCAGTATGGTCACTTAACCCCCCTAACCCGACACAGCGTGGGGAGGCCCTCATCCAGCAGTGGATTGACAAAGGACTGCACATTGTTAATTGATATTGATCGTTATCATTAAATGTCCCATGTACTTGTAATCGAACTATTTCAGGTCCCTTACCTATCCTTGGGTGGAAGAGTCGATGCCATCCCTGGGAACGACTTTGTCCCTGGAGGTGCGGGTTGAGTGGGAAGAGAGCGGGTGAGTCCTGCAGCAGCAGCTGTTGTGTTGTGAGTCGGGGGGAGAGAAAAGGAGAGAGAGAGAGGTGAAATGTTGATTTAAAAAAAAGATTGGTCCACTTTAAATACCTACTGCTGTGGCCGAGTGACGGTCGGGAAATCGTTGCGCGTGAGTGTTTTGTGTTCCAGATTGCACGTGTTGATGTACGTGTGGTGACATCGCGGGATGTCAACGTGCAGTGCCGGCCCCAGAGAGGCACAGCGTGCCGTGTAACGACATCGCGAACATGCACCACGAGGATGTGGGTGTAGTCCTGGCCCTAGAGGGGCACGGTGAGCGCTGGTGGATAGCGCCGGATGGCACCACGCTCGGCGTGCAGTGCCAGCCCCTACAGGACAGGGTGTGTGAGTGCCGGCCGAAGGATGAGGTTACTCGAGGCCATGGCACTCTGGTTGACCCGGGGAGGACACGTGACCGGTTAAGTCTGGACGGTGGTCGTGGCCGAGGGCGGAGTCGGCCACGCCGCAGAGAATATAAGCCGGGTCCCGCGAGGGACCAGGGTTGTTCATCTTGGAAGAAACCCTTCGTCTACGATCTCCGTTCAACGAGTCTCCAACACGTGGACCCGGACCCAAGCCGTTGGTCCCGGTCCGTAGTAGCAGTTACGTTGTAACTAGTGTAGTAACTTGTGTAGTAATTAGTGTAGTAACTAGTGTGGTTAGCCTGGTGGTCACCATCAGGTTAACTACACCAGTTACGTTGTAATCAGTGTAGTTAGCCGGGTGGTCACCACCAGGTTAACTACACCAGTTACGTTGTGACTAGTGTTGTAACTAGTGTAGTTAGCCTGGTGGTCACCACCATAGGTTGTTATTCTGTTAAAGGGAAAATTACCCCGTGTGTTGGAGTTGAATAAATGTGTTGCCTTCCAAGTCTACGTCTGCGACTCAGTTGAACCCATTGCATCTGTGTGTCTGTCGGTATGTGGGGAGCGGTAGTGTGGCGGTTAGCGCGCTACGCAACGAACCTGGAGACCCGGGTTCGATTCCCGCACACGGCCAACACCGGTGACGATTAGCTGAACCGGTCCTGGGCCTCCCCTAGGTCGACTCAGCCTCGAATGAGTACCTGGTGCGATGTATAAGCATCGCCACTAGGGAGACAAAGGCGGTCGGGCGTGGTGCTTGGCTACCCACCCCCTCGTGTGACGATCCAGCCTTCAAAGGTGTTCGCCAACGGCACTTGCCAGAAAAAAACTATGTTGAGGCTATATGGGGGATCTTTGCCTGTGTATGCGCGTGAGGTTGTAACTTTTTCCCCGCCGTGACCTCGTGATCACCGCGCCGTATTTATATCCCTTGGCAATGGCTACTCTGGTTATTTTTGGTCGCTGGGTCGGTGTTTTCACTCACGACCCACGCTCGCACGGGGCAGGTAAATCGTTAACCCCCCTTGCGAGTCCTTCCAGGTAGTAATCACCATGCCCGCCTCCCCATCTTCTACCACATGGCTCTCGCCACACGTGACTCACGGACAGGACTCACGCAATCCCGCACTGCATCATCATCAGCGTCGTCGTCGTCATTAGCAGCAGCAGAATCATGAGCGGGAAGATTAAAGTTGTCACCATCAGCATCAGGATTATCATCGGATTGTCAGCGTCAGCAGCGAGATCACCATCAGCAACAACAGCAGCGACACCTTTGTTAGGAGCAAAATCATCACGTTTAGTATCAATGTAAGATGCAGCGGTGTCAGCAGAATTTGCAGCAGGATCATCATCATCAGCAACAAGATCATCAGCATCTTCATTATTTTCAGCGGCATCATTCATCAACAGCAGACGAAGATCAGGAGCAGCATCGTCATCAGCAGCTCCATCCATAATGACACAATGTGAAGCGCGCTCCTCATTACAACCTCCGTGCGCCAAGGTGCATATCGCGAGGCCTGGTAGCGCCCCTCGTCCGCCCCCATCACCCAGTCTCCCCGTCGCGAGTCCTTCAACATCAGCGACTTGGTCAGCCGAGACAGCCACGTGGGGCGACTGAGCGGTGGCGCAGCGGTCAGCGCACCGTGCTACGAACTCGGGCTACCCAACTTCGATTTCCGGCCAACTGTTAACATCATCGGCGAGTGATCGACGTTTAAACCCGAAGTTGACGTATGAACCGATCGCTGAGTGTGAACATTAGCCCACGGGGGGGGGGGGGGGAGACAAAGGCGGCCGTGTCCTGCGTGTCTTCTGACTGGCCACACACACACGACACTCACACATGCACGCCGGTGGGGGTCTTTTGTATTCATGTGTTACGGATGTTACACGTGTGTGTGTGTGTGTTCACACGCTGCGCTACGAACCCGCTCACGGCCACCAGCACCAGTGACAATCATCTGAGGTTCTGGGTCGCTCCTAGGTCAACTCAGCCTCAAACGAGTACCTGGTGCGACGTGTAAACATCGCCACTAGGGAGACAAAGGCGGCCGGGCGTTGTGCAAACACACCCACCCAGATCCCGCAGTACCGTGCCGGCCTTCGAATGCGCTCGCCACCAACACTTGCGCCAACAGCCTGTCACAGGCTATACGGGGGATCTTTGTCTTTGCGTGTGTGAAAATACACAGTCCTCACCAAGACGCGCCGTATACTTCTCGCGGCGCTGTAAACTTGCAGTCCGTGTACCGTCGCCGTACTGCAAGTAACACGAGCACACACGGCACTGAGAGGACCCCCTGCCTGCCCTCTTGCCTCCCACGCTGCCCGCCCCACTGACCGCGACCATTCATCACCGCGCCGGATGAACTTGAGCCAGCCGACAATGAACAGACACAACGTGCGCTCGCAAACTCGGCTAAAGCCAACACCGCATTGCATCACGCGCGGCTCGCCGTCGCGTTCGCTCCGAGATATGAAACGTGACACCCCACTACACCCCCTTTGCTACCCCCCCCCCCACGTCCTGCTCCCCACAACTCCCACACAAGCCCCCTTGCTCCCTGTCTCACAACCCGAAACCCCGCGTGACCGCCACGCGGACTGCCTAGGGGTTTTGGACAGGAGGTGGTTCGGGTTAGAATTGTGGGGTAGGGGGCCCAAACCTGCAGTGCCGACCTTGTTTAGTGGGTGGGGGCAGGGATGGGGGCATAGAAACACAGGCATGGAGGTCACGGCACAGTCAACATTAAACGAACGTTGAACAAATGTTCGGAGCGAAACGGAACGAGGAACGCACGGAACGATCTGATTTTGCCGATGGCGCATTCTGCCCCAGATGTCACCCCCCGTCCACCCCCATCACCTGCCAGTCCATGAGCCTAGATCAGCCAGATCAGGCGTCTCACTCGTCGGAATAACTTTAACCCGTTCCAATGTCTTCCATCAGTTCCACGTGTGAGGTTTTATTTTCAATCTAAATTGCCATGCAGGGCACGTGCGATGGTGAAGCGCCACCCAAGTGCGAATAGGAGGCAGTTGAAGAGACCTCAGCAGTAGTTCTGTAATGTCACCTTCCCGAGGCCGTTACATTGCTTTGTGGCGGGACCTCTGAATGGAACTAGCTGTGAGTTTCAAGGCAGCGTGACGCCAACGGAACAATTGTAACAACTATAAAATGTCCGAGATACAATCGTGGTATTAAGCAATTGCCTTCAGGGACACACCACAAACCTTCGGTTACTCGTACCCACTCACTTCACAATCGTTCCCCTGTACCTACGACGCTATTGAATAGCCCAGTTTCATCAGGCTACTATTGTTACCGTCACTCGCGAGTTGAGGCCACCATAGCACTATTTATTTATTGAACAATGGATGTTGGGAAGTGGAAATATTCGAGAAGTAAAAGGTGACACGAGAATGAGTAATCCACCAAAATCAGGAAAACACAAAACGAGATTTTTTTTATTGGCAAAGGGTGTAACCCGAGCAGGAGAGTGGACAACACTTCACAGGAAGAATTAGCGAGATGTCATCCCTCGCGAGATACGCCTTTTGACGAATGGGTGGATTACGATGATTTTTAAATCATCGCCATCATCATCATCACGCTGCTATATTGTCAATGTTTTGCAAGATGGTTATCGTCGGCTGTGACACGGCCTGGCGGCAGCGCGTTTCACGGCTTGTTGCAGAGTAGGGTTCAAATCCAGCGGCCGCCCTGGTTATAACTGCGGGTGTATGAACCGCCGTCTGTGTTTACAAGGTAGACGTTAAAGATCCCATGACGTCACTTTGGATCATGACGCGTTGTCGGCGTCGTGATCCAAATTCGCAAAATTTTACATACAAAAAAACTACCTGCCAATTTACTCAGTTGGGGAAAACCTGGCAGGAACCTCTTGAAAGAGACTCAGTGAGCCTTTCACGTATGAACGCGGGTAAAACAATCACAATCGTCATAACCATCGTCACCATCATGCGACTGCTGACGGATTGAAATTCGTTAGTTCGTCCATTCCGCTATGTGAACTCGAGAACCAAAAGTGCGAGGATGAGTCGCTGTAAAAACAACACACACCCAACTAAAAACACCGTGACCATCACAGGATACGGAGATCACACCGATAACACCGATCACACTTTCATTCCAGCGCGTGTCTTGTCCAAAAAAGCACTGCCACTCCTGATTTGTTAATTATAATCATAATGATCTACATCATTAGACCTCCTTTGCCAGTACCAAAATTTAATAATAGGGTATTTCCCCTTTTTTCTGCCAACAAAACTGAAACCTTTTTACAAGGATTAATGTTTGCATTAACCACAATACCTGCAGTCAAAATGCAAACAAAAAACATACTATCATAGTATATTATTAAGTCATAATGATGATAAGTACACGTACAAATACTTGAAAGTCACGATCAAACGCGTCATTATAAACCACTTTAAGTGATGGTACTGCTACGCCTCTCCGATATACCTTACGATGATTGTACAACAACCGTAACTCACGAAGCGAGAGGCGGTGATGGTGGTGGTTGATGGCCCGAGTCTTGCCCGTGTCTGGCGGGGTCTGTCCGTTGGTAGCGGACGGGATGAGCTACCCAGACTCCTCCTTGAAACCCCCTGGAGTCTGGAGCGAGGAAAGTGGGAGGCAAGTGAGGGAGGGAGGGAGAGGTGCTGGCTGCACAGTGGGGAGAGAGGTGGGTTTTTGGAAGGGAGCTATAAGGGGTGGGGGAGATGGTTGGGGGGGGGAGGAGGGAGGTCAGTTGGAAACTTTCCCCAAGCATTCCTCCTCTCCCTCCACAACGCAGACCTTTAGCCATAACACAAAATCATCAATAGCGGCGGTGTTTCACGACGTAACGTACCCAAATTAATAAGGGCATGTGCAAAATACAGATATGGGAAAGGGGGCATATTGGCACCACTTTAACCGGGATTTATCAGATTGGCAATCCTTGTGAAGCTGCGCTCGATCAATCTTTCCCACGGTCTCACGTTGTGCAATTGTTGCTTCAAATGTGAAGGCGCAGCCCTGCAATTACTTGCTCACGCCACTGCCGGCGTGGCCGCTAAAGAGATCTCGTGGTGTCGTTCGCAAGAGCGGGCCGTTGCGTGCCGACACCAAGGTCCAAATTTTGCCAACTTTCTGAAATTGCCCGCGATTATAGATGGCAATTATCGCCCCCTACTGCGAAAACTTAGCAGGAATTTTCCTGAAAAAACACAGAGGCACGAGACTCGGTGAGGCTTCCCTGGGTAAACACGCTCTGATGAACAATGCCTTGTTAGATTCCACTGCGCCCAGTCTCCATCTAAATAAATAACAAACGCGTTATGTGCTGTTGTGCAGCGTCACGCTATATATGGTTCCACAACAGCATTATGAGTCTCTCCAATGTAACAGCCATTTTTCACTTTCAGTGATCAGCGTAATTTGACCATACTTCACCACGCTGGTCAGTGCAGTTTGGTGCACGGGACCGGTTTACTTAGATCCAAATGATGTTGGGTCCATAGCGATGTGTGCCAACAGCTGTGCCACCACTCACCCCCCCCCCCCAACGGCCTTGTAATGCCCCAGAAATTAAAACTACTTGTGAGATCCCTTCGAGTGACCTGCTTATCCATGTAACCTTCCACAGAGGAATATTCATCACGTGGCCGCTAAACCGCTATTTGTAATTCCCAGAGCTGGAATTTAGCCAAATTTAAAGAGAAAAACTAAATTCTTCTCGGCTTTTTTGTGTGTGTTTTCAACGGAACCCGTTGGTAACCGGGCAGAAACAATCAACTCGGTGCTTCGATCGCTGCGGTTGAGTGGCTGAAACGAGGACCTCACACCCAGCCCACCCTCCTATCGCGCGACCGTAACTTTAAAAGTAGTTTTGTTATCGTTGCCTCTTACGAGCGAATCTCAAAACGAACGCGCATGTTTCCGCAGGTGTGATGTCGAGTATATGCAGCTCTCCGATGTGTTTTCGGATCAATATTATGTTGCTATGAAGGGCCATTGCCCGAAACGTTGCCTGTGATATATTTCCTCTTAAGGTTGTACCACGTGTTGTTCGCAGTGCCGGATTATCCTACTAGCTAAAGTAGCTACATATGCTACGGGCCCTGCACTTTCAAGGGCCCCGTGCTAAATGCTTTCAAACGATCTATTCCGGTTCAGTGATTCTGCACTTGCTCTATTACTATAGTACTATACCGCCTTCAGCTTTTATGAACGAATGGGTGTTTAAGATTAGCGAGTTGTCGTATTATCTGGCTGTGTAACAAATGAAGAAATACAATTACTTTACTATGCAAGTTAAAAAGTTACGTGTTTTTGTTTTATTTAGGGCCCCTTTATAACATCATATGCTCCAGTCCCCGCACTAGCTTAGTCCGGCACGTGTCGTTCGGCATGACGTCCGACGTTACTGGAGAAGCTCCTGGAGCGAAACGTCGAGCACCGCGTGCCTAGCTACAAGCGGTGCGACCAGAAAATGCACAACAACGGACAATGCATCTTCTTGGTTCTTTCGGTAAAGTCACGTAGAACGAGAATAAAACAATAAAACAAAATAAGACAATAAAATTCTCACGACGTTTCGGCCACAACACAAGTAGCCTTCTTCAGGTGAAGGAACAGAACTGTCGGGACGACAGCGCTTGAAGCGCTTGAAGCGCTGTCGTCCCGACAGTTCTGTTCCTTCACCTGAAGAAGGCTACTTGTGTTGTGGCCGAAACATCGTGAGAATTTTATTATCTTATTTTGTTTTATTGTTTTATTCTCATTCTACGTGACTTTACCGAAAGAACCAAGAAGATGAATCCTTGCAGTCACGAAAGCTTTAAATCGAAGCAGACAATGCATTAGGGTCATGGATAGCGCTCGAGTTTGATTGGCTCGTGGTAATAGGGTTCATGGCTAGGGTTGATTAGGGCCGAATCCACGTTTTCTGAGCAAAAGCAAGAAACGCTGGGAGGGACACAGCGAGAAAACGCGTGAGGGTGTGTGTACAAATATCTACGACAATTGTTGAAGGCAGATCGTGAGTAAAACTGATTTAATAAAGAGGCGTTGCCAGAGGGTTGGATTGCTTCTGTACAACGGAATTTTGCTCATGAACATGTCAGTGCGCTGCAAGGTTAATGCACATTCAATCCTTGCTGCTATGCCTGCCCGAGGCTTACGCGTTTTTCTTCTTTTGTATCCACGGGTGGGCACGCCGGGCACCGACACACACGAGGGAACGAGAGCTACGCGTGTAAACACAAGCCTTCACGCCGAGAGAGAGAGAGAGGAGGAGGAACGCACGGACCAGGGAACACAACAATTTAGAGACATCAACGACGCCTGTGTAAGAACGGGAAATGTCCCCGGGCAGGACACGTCGCTAGAGGGGATCTTCTTCTTCCTGCTTTCTTTCGTACGGCTGCTGATGTAGACGCAGAGCGACAACTGCAATTTCACATTCAGTTGGTCAAGCCAGACAACTGCGTCAGGAGCAGAGGAGTGGCATCGTCGCTGCGATGTCTCCTTCGTATTTGAGGATCGGTCGTGGTGTCGTTAAACGTCGTTGTTCTGGATGACCACAGTTGCACACTGGAGAGTTTTTAATTCTCCATTTGTGCGTCTGGTATCCGCTATCTGCCACGGTTTGTGCACATGCAATTTAGGGTGGACCATGAGCTTTGTGGAAGATCAAAACCAGCGATCTTCTGTGTTGGGTCTTTCACGTGGCTTTTATTTTTTGCTCGAGGAGATAGATGATAGGCGATGGACGAGACTTGACTGACAGCCAGAGGGAGGGATCTTGCCCCGAGAGGATGATCACCGCGGAGATGACGAGTTCAGCTCATGGCCAAGGAGCGAGATGGACCGTGACTTTGCCGGTCTGCGGGTGATGTCGACGGCGTGGAGAGAGAGAGGCCTTCTGCCGGCAGTGGATATGGCTGATGATGATGCTTCAAAGCACTATAGATGAGTTTGCGTAGGCTTTCGCGACCAATATTATTCATAATGAAGGGTTTTGGGTGCGATTACGTTAGAATAAATGTGTCGTAACCCTCCACCACCCGACACAGCCATTAAGGTTTGTCACGTAAACAACGCGCCAATTAGTTACTACTTCTATAATAGATTAGTAATCAGTTAATTAGTATGTGTTTCCTCTATTCGGAATTGTAGTTGGAAGATGTACTGAATACGAATCTATTATATAATTACAATAACCCCCTCCTCCGCCTCTGATCTCTGCACCTGATGGGTTCAGTGAAGACGTCATCCTGCTGCTCTATTTAAGACCGGAAGATGCTGGTTGATGTAATTACCAGCGAAACGTCGGACTATTCAAATTGTAAATGTTGTGGATCGGGTTGTGGAGGGTTACGACACGACACATACTTACAGCGATCTAACCCAAAAACCACTTGCAGTCGAGATGACACCACCCATTTCGGGGTTCCTGTACCCCCCATAGCGGTCCGAAAGGTCCCTCTGTTGGCCGAGTCTGAGCGTGGCGCGCAGGCTACGCGGAGCAACAAAGCCGCATGGCCACTCACGTGCGCGCGCTAAGACGTGGGGCCACGCGCGTGTGCTGTTAAGAGGGCATCCACCACCGAGGAATCGCATATCAGCGTCTCTGCGTTTATGCGTGAATGCCTTCGCATGTGTGTAGGTGTCGCGCCTGCGTGCGCATGCAGATTCGCCAGCCAAACGCGCGCCTGCCACAATATAACCGCAGCACGTTTGTCAATGGCACAATTGGCCTTAAAGAGGGACAAACATGGACGACGTTTCGGGCGATGGCCCAGGCCAATACCCCGATGAACTATGAAGGGCCATTGCTCCAAACGTCGTCCATTATATATATGTTTAGTTTTTCTCCCTTTTTAAGGCGACACGATGTTGTTGACGAATGTGTTCAGTTTTTTTTGTATGGCTTGTGGTGGTGTGGGTGAATGGGGGTAGTGTGGGTGGGTGGGGGTGGTGTAGGTGGGTGGGTGGGGGTGGTGTAGGTGGTTGGGTGTGGGTGGGGGTGGTGTGGGTGAGGGTGGTGTAGGTGGTTGGGTGTAGGTGGGTGGGGGTGGTGTGGGTGGGTGAGGGTGGTGTAGGTGGTTGGGTGTGGGTGGGTGTGGGTGGTGTGGCTGGGTGGGTGTGGTGGTGTTATTTGTGCACCACGAACAATGACAGTGCCACCAAACAAGTCGAGTTTAATTCAACCGCTTACAGATTGAGCCGAGGGGGTGGGGGGGTGCGGGAACAACCTTGGGAAGAGCTCGTGAGGAGGGGGGGGGGGAGGTGCAGCAGCGAGATAAACACGCGGCCCACGCTCGGCCAAGGGCAACTTCTTCACAAACACCGCAGGCGCGCGCTCGGTCTGCCCTGGGAACAAAGACAAAGTACCCCCTTCCCCACATAGCCTTAACAGCCTTGAGGGGCACCGATGAAGGCGACACGGCACACGAGGCTTGTCACCATGGTGGCGATGTTTACTACACGGCGGCGCACCGAGTACTCATTTGAGGCTGAGTCGACCTAGGGGAGGCCCAGGACCACGCGTCCGATATTAATCGTCACCGGTGTTGTTGGCCGTGAGCGCGTGGAAATCGAACTCGGGCCGCTGGGTTTGGGACCGCTGCTTACACTACCGTGATCCCCGACTGCCCTGGGAACGCTGCCCCGAACAACCGTCTCGCATCCCACCCGCTGCCAAGGGGATTACAATCAGAGATGATGTCCACGAGGAGGGCAACTAGAATTAATCATTCGCATTGATCTTTCAATCCGGGAATGCTTTGCCGCAGCGTTCAATGTACTTTTTTTCTTGGCCAGGAGTCTGAAAACCTGCGGCTCCAGAGCAGTGCCGGACTAAGCTGGGGCCTGTAGCATTTGTTGTTTGAAAGGGGCCCTAATTTTTTTAAAAAAAACACGTAAATATTAAAAAACACATTTTTTTACTTGCATAGTAAAGTTATTGCATTTTTTCCATTTGCTATACAGCCAGATAATACGACAAATCGCTAACCTTAAACACTCGGTCGTTCATAAACGTGGAAGGCGGTATAGTACTATAGTAATAGAGCAAGTGCAGAATCACTGAAACGGAAGTGATAGCTTGAATTTTTTTAGCGCGGGGCCCTTGAAAGTGCGGGGCCCGTAGCTACTACATGTGTAGCTACTACATGTGTAGCTACTACATGTGTAGCTACTACATGTGTAGCTACTACATGTGTAGCTACTACATGTGTAGCTACTACATGTGTAGCTACTACATGTGTAGCTACTACATGTGTAGCTACTACATGTGTAGCTACTACACGTGTAGCTACTACACGTGTTGTAGCTACTACACGTGTAGCTACTACACGTGTAGCTACTACACGTGTAGCTACTACACGTGTAGCTACTACACGTGTAGCTACTACACGTGTTGTAGCTACACGTGTAGTAGCTACAACACGTGTTGTAGCTACACGTGTAGTAGCTACAACACGTGTAGTAGCTACTACGTGTAGTAGTAGCTACTACACGTGTAGCTTCTCTGCCTGTCAAGGACCACCGCCGTCTCGTATTCACCGCACGTATTAGGTACTCTTGAAATATTGAGGGGGGGTTTTTGTTGTTGTTGTTGTTGTCGTTTTTGTTTTACCGAATTTGAACCAAAAAAATTACCCTTCTCGTTATTCTGGTTGCCGACCGCTGGAATAGCCGCACGCTGGACTCGCAATCCCAGAGGTCGCCGGTTTGATCTCGGCAGGAATGGGCAAGTTTGTTTATTTACACTGTGGAACAAACAAATATCATAAAAAATATATATTTTGTTCCTGGGTAGTAAGTGTTATTTTCTAATTGCTTATGCCTCAAAAGTACAGAAAATGCCTATCATTCCACACAAACTTTGCTTCTGTGACCAGGACAGGGATATTTTGAAATTTACCTATTTTCAATGAGAAACGTGGTGTGCATTTGTGCCATTACTTCACGTAAAGTCCTGGTCACAAACGCAAAGTTTGGGGGGAATAATAGCCATCTTCTATACTTTTGAGGCATAAGCAATTATAAAATAACACTACCCAGGAACAAAAATGATTTACTGTCAAAGACTAAAAACCCGTATAGCCTTCGACAGACTTTTTGGGGCAAGTGCTGTTAGCGGGCAGCGCCTATGAAGGCAACGGCCAACGGCACACGAGGGGGTGGGGGGTGGCCAGCACCACCCCCCGGCCGCCTTTGTCTTCCCCCAGTGGCGATGTTGACTACTCACCGCACCAGGTGCTCATTTGTACGCACGGCTGAGTCGACCCACTTCCCCGCCAGCCGCCTCTGCCGACGAAGCGGTTATGAATGGGCAGGTGGCGCGTGTGGCGGGGTAAAGCGTGGGCACTTCAACCTCTTCGCGAAAGGCCTTCATCCAGCACTGGAGTTTACACGGAAAAAAGGTATAGGCGCAGCCCTGCAATTGCTTGCTCACCCCACTGCCAGTGTTGGGCCCTGCGCGAGGAGGTTGGTCGAGACTGTGGCAACCTCGTTGGGCTTCTGTACCCCTCTTTGTTGAATGTTGTTTCAATCGAGTTACCCCGCCTTGTCCGACCCAACATGGTTCTGAGAAACAAACGTATGAATAATGAACGTCAAAATGTTAAGCAATTGTCCATTTTGTGAGGTATCCTAACTAAGCTGGTAACTGCAAACGAATACAAAAAAAATATTCAACGGACGCTCTTGCATGCGTGGGAATCACATCGTTTACGAGCAATGAGTTTAGAAAAGTATGTTATACCGTTCTAGTTTACCATGTGTATTTAAATGTTATCGTAGTTATTTTATATTGGCGGATTCATACGTGATTATTCAGCAGTTACTCTCACGCACGATATAATTTCACGTAATTATAAATCATCTCTCGTACCCCCTTTGGGATATTGCCACGAAGCCTCTAGGGGTCCGCGTTGAGCACCACCGCTCTCGAGATCCCGTCCAAAAGGGGGTATTTGTCCTGTCGCAAAGTCTTCGGAGAGATGAAAGTAGCCACGATTTACCCCAACTACCGACCGACTGGGGTGTCACCCACTTCACATACCTACCGACCCACTGGATGGATAGAGGTTGGGGGGAGGGTGGATTTAATCAACTTCGCGCTGACTCAACTGCCGCACGATCGAATCGAGCGGGCGACCTCTGCATTGCGAGTTCAGTGTGCAGCGAACGCGTTACAACCACCATCCCGTCACCTGTAAGGAGGGGGGTGGAGGGATATGTACGCATGTTGAACTTCTTTCGCACCGTACGTAGCCAACCGTGCCAATCGGAGGTGCGCGCGGGAGGGAGGTTACAACAAACTCGCACGGCTCTCGCTGGCGAGCCACCGGGCTGCGTGCGACTGCGCCTGCAGGTTGCCGCGCAGAAAAGGCGAAACTTTTTGTAACGAGTAAAAAGAGAGAACGAAACGACTTGAAAGTGACCGAGGCGCCTGTTTGTGGCTGTCAGTTGAGGGGGTCACTGCTCCAATTCGTGAGCGCAGTGACCGAAGGACAACGAACTAAACACAAAAATCAGTTCCAAAGAAGGGAGTTTGACGATTCTACTATTGCAGGGGTCCGGGAAACCAAAATAACAAGATCCATTTTTTTTTAGAATTCGGTTAAAAAGAACCCTGCAAATACTCCAAGGACCACAACGCATGCCAATAAATGTATCACGTAGTCGCATGTCAATAAGTGTCACCTAGCCACATGTCAATAACTGTCACGTAGTCGCATGTCAATAAGTGTCACCTAGCCGCATGTCAATAAGTGTCACCTAGCCACATGTGAATAAGTGTCACCTAGCCGCATGTCAATAACTGTCATGTAGTCGCATGTCAATAAGTGTCACGTAGCCGCATGTCAACAAGTGTCACGTGGCCGCATGTCAACAAGTGTCACGTGGCTGCAGGTTGTCGATCCCCTGTGCTCTTGTGTTGATGGCTCGTGGGTGGCGATTCAATGGCTTCACGGAACACTGCGCACGGCGTATACGTCTTGGCCTCTTTCACGACGAAGGGGGCCCTTCCCCGAAACGTCGATTGCTTTCGCTCCATTCAGTGCCACGGCTACCGAGCAGTGGCCGTTGAGTTTGTTGACACTCGCGCGCCTGTGCAGCAGCAGCAGCATCGTCTCGGTTGCGTTGTTCTTTCCTTTGTTCTCCCTCCGTGCGCTCCGAATGGCCGAAATGAGACGTTGGCATGGCACAATAAATAAGACTGTAAAACATAATAATAAAGAATAGCTATAACATTCGGATATATTTAGCGTACACTGCAAATAATCGATTGTTACGTGCACGCTTCGTGTATGTAGCGTGAGAGTACGTTCTCGATTAATCGTTACATGCAGAATAAAACACGCGTCCCAACAACTCTCCCCGCCTCTGCTGTTGCTGCTGCTGCTGCTGTGGTTGCCACTGATCTCGGATGCTGCTCACGCGATATCGACTGTTGCCGTTGTTGCTGTTATGATTACTGCTGCTCCTTCCGATTCTCGTGTGGTTACTGCTGCTATCGTGGCTATAACAGCTGCTGCCGATATTATTCACAACGTGCTTGTAGCTACTGCTGTTACTGCTGGTGGATTTGCTGCTGCTGGTGATGCTGTTGTTGTTGTTGTTGTGGTCGCGAGTGAGGGAGGCGGCGAGTCGGTCCCAGGCCTCCTCCAGCTGCACGTGCATCAGGCTGATGCGGGAGTCCCTGCGCAGATGCCACTCCTGGGACGTCTCGTTACCATCCTCATCATCACTACCATCATCACCACCATCATCCTCATCATCATCATAGCCTCCCCGCGTCTCTCTTCCCCTGCACGGGTCCCAGACCTCACCTACCTCCTTCACAACATCACCATCCTCCTCCTCTCGTCGTCCCTCGAGCCGAGCCGGCTTTCCCCCCTGAACACCTACGGATCCATTGCCTGGAAAGAGACGCGTACCTCCTCCACCTACTCCCGCTGCTCGTACATTACTGTCCGTGCCACCACTGCCTGGCACACCACCATCTAGGACTGCCACACCGCTAGGCCCATCGCCTCCAATGTGACCATGTCCACCACCTCCTGCGAGAGCACCCCCTCTCCCATGACCACCGCCAGGCTCACCTCTAGAGCACTTGCCTAGATGATCACCTCCACCGCATCCAGCTCCATCTCTAGATCCGTCGCCTCCAAAACGACCATCGACCTCACAAAAAACATCACTTCCCACATCACCACCAACACCATTATGACCTCCTTTAGAACCCCCAACTCCACCACTACCACCACGAACTCTATTATCTCTAAATCCGTTACTTTCAAAATTACCACCAACTCTTCCAAAACAACCCTGACCATTGTGACCACCACCGCCATCTTCTGTAAAAGTGTTACCACCATTTTCAAATATATTACCACCAAGGCCATCACCATCACCCCCATGACGACCACCACCACCATTAGTACCAACTCCTCCCTCCCTCATCGAGCGAACAACCGGGTTCGCCTCCTGCTCCTCCTGCTCCTCGTCGAGGCGACCTCCTCGCCGTGTGGACTTGGGCTCTAGGGTTTCGCCCCGAGGTCCCTTGGCCTGCAGACGCCTCAGCAGCTGCAGGCCGCAGAGCCTGGGGCCCGCGAGGCCACGGAGGCCACCATGCTTCTTGGGCCTCATCCGCACGGGCGGACCATCCCTGGCCATTGCCACCGGCGTTCCGGACGCCGCAGTCTCACGAGCGCCCGCTATGAGTGGAGAAGGGCTGCGAGCTCCCGGGCGACGGTGGAGGTCGGAGAGGGGGACGTGGGGCTCCCTCCCACCGTGATTTACAGACGATGGACCTTCGAGGTCACGGTCATAGGCAGGAGGTCCAGTGGTAGGCACCTCAATGTCAAGGTCATAGTCAGTGGTTACGGAGAGAGGAGGTTCACGGTCGAGGTCATGGGCAGGGGCTCTAGGGGAAGAGTTTTCAGGGAGAGGTTCTTCATTGATTACAGGGAGATACCTCTCACAACGTAGGTCGTGAGCAGATGTTCCAGAGAGAGATCCTTCAAAATCAGGGTCATGAGCAGGAGCGCCAAACATGGGCCCCATATGGTCAAATTCCTGGCTAGGATCTCCACAATGAGACACCTCTAAGTCACGGTTATTAGGAGTTTCAGAGATTCGTCGCTCAATGTTAAGGTCAAAGTGAGGAGTTCCACAGATGGGCACTTCGAGGTCAACGTCCGTGCCAAGGGCTCCGGAATGAGATCCCTCGACGTCATAGACAAGAGTTGCAGAGAAAACCCCCTCAATGCCGCAGACAGAAGAGGACGCTCCAGCATCTCGGACGGGCGTTTCAGCAAAAGACCCCTCGAGGCGACCCTGGGCCTCCTCGGCCAGCTCAGGGCCCTCGTCAGCCGAGCCACCGCTACCCACGGCGCCCTCAGTGGAGGCGCCCGTGTCGTCGTGGAGTTCAGACCAGAGTGTGTCCCAGGACTCATGAAGCGGCGTCAGACACCCCGAGTCTCTGCCGGACCCCGGGATTGGGTCCCCTTCCCACAGGGGGTCCGGGGGTCGGACGGGCGAGTCGGGGGGCGTTGGGTATCTGCTCGTGTTGATGTGGCCTCTTCCTCCTTCGCCCTGTCCTTCTCCTCCTTGTTCTTCTTCTCCTTCAACTCCTCCGTGTTTCGTCAGTCCCTCCGAGTCCACCTCCTTCACACATAAATTCACAGCAGTTATTAAAAGGTTGCTGCTTTTTGGTTTGTTTTGTATGTATGTATGTTGAACTTCATTCGCACCGTACATAGCCAACCGTGCTAATGATCCACTGCTGTATTACGGCAACCCCATGCCTTCCCGGTCACGGGGGTTTATTTGACAACACTACACCAGGCTGCTCAATACGGGTTGGTGTGAAGGGGGGCAGGCGGAGCCCAGGACCGGTTCAGACATCACTCAAATCGTAGGTCGCCAAATGCATCACGCAATGCACTGACCACTGCGCCCACCGCTCCCCCACGCGCCACGCTACATCAACAACGGGTTGAACATGCGCGACGAAAAAAACCAGACGGACCCAGCGGGCGGTGGGTGCACTTCATCACGAATGCCTCGGCAGCAATCCCGGACCGTTGCGTATCATCTCTCCCCGCAACGGTGACAATGAACAGCGTTTCACCTCGTTCGCCTCCGCCGTAATGGCCTTCATCTTCCTCGCCTTCTTCTTCTTCCTCCTCCTCCTCCTGGGCCACGTGTGCGCCAACTCCTGGTCCCCGGACGACGTTTCCTCGAGGAGCGCCTCCATCCTCGTTTCCCGTTCGCCGCGAAATGATGATGGCGATGATGTCGCTGCCGCTGCTGCTGATGGCGATGATGATGATGACGATGTTGATGCTGCAGCTGATGATGATGACTGTGGGTGTGGTGGTGGAGGTGCGCCAGATATCTGAGGCTGTTCCCCACTTGCGCAGGGGGTTAGACGATGGGGACTTGACTTGCTGACCTGTGGGGTAAAGACACCTTCATAAATAATCTTTTTTTTTTCTATAACGTGGCACTTTCATCCACATGTAACTTAGCAATCACATCATCAAGACGCAGATCACCTTTCCAGCATGGCGCGCAATGTGTTTTTCCCACTATATTGAGTCCCAATGCTCTTTTTTCCTCAGAGGATTCTGCTTTAGGAGTGTTAGACCGTGTGCTTTTTCTTGTTTGGGTTTTTTTGTTAGGTTCTGGGAGCAACACTGCAGTGCTCAGAGAAAACCCCTGTGCCTAAGAGGAGACAATGCGAAACACGTTACTACCCAGACAAGCTGTTAAGAAACATTTCCGCTGTACTGCCTGTAAGCCGTGAACCACTGAAATAGATCAATCGTTCCGGCACTACCCCCGAGTCTGGATGGCGGTGGTGGGGGGGGTCTGCAAGGGGATGTGTGAATGTTGAACTTCTTTTTGCACCGTACGTAGCAAACAGCACTGATCGGAGAAGCTGTGGGAAGGCCAACCCAATAAAAGCAGTTCCAAAAAATATTAGTTTTCAATGGAGATTTAGGGAGAGAGAGGGAGCGCTTCTGGCAGCCCGGCTTGTACCTGTGGGATCGCGGGGTCCCCCTCGCAGGACCGGGGTCCCTTCCTCCGCCTCAGGCTGCCCAGGAACGAGGATAGGAGACCCCCTTTGCCCCAAAAGCGCCCACGGGCTGCTCGCTATGGGGATACATCATCACCATCATCATCACCATCATCATCACCATCATCACCAGCATCATCATCACCATCATCATCACCATCATCATCACCATCATCACCATCATCATCACCATCATCATCACCATCATCACCATCATCATCACCATCATCATCACCACCACCATCAGCATAATCATCAGCATAATCACCATTATCATCGCCATTATCACCATCATCACCATCATCATCATCATCCCCACCATCATCGTCATGACTTCACCCATTATATATCATTGTCGTTATCAGCTCACTCATCATCATCACTGTTCTAGTGGTGGTCATCGTTGACTGACTATTATCAGTCATTATTATTTACACCGCACTTTCCATGCGGTACACCTGATGAAGGCGCAGAACAAAGGAGGCTTTTGGGATACTCCGAAAGGAAGTGGTGCAGACTAGGACGTTCACAAATCAATGCAGTAGAGACGTCACACACACAAACAAACTTTTAAACTGCTAACACGTGCTTGGGAGTGGCACTCCCGTTTTGTGTTTTTGTTTGTTGTGGTTGCACCCGATTCAAGAGCCGAATGGCTCACAGGGCTATGCCAAAATAAATAAACTGAAACTGAAGTTATGTATGAGCCACGTGTTGAACTGATGAATTGCGAGAGTGCGTTAATGATCAAGGAAGTGCATTGTCATAACCACCGATGTCATTTGTCATCGTGACCAGCAGCATCACTACCAACGCTGCCACCACCACCACAATCATCACCCAGACAACCACCACCACCACTCTCCGCATCATCATTTGCCCTCATCAATATCAATCATCCTCAATCTCAATCATTGGCTATATACGTATGTTGGACTTCTTTCGCACCGTATGTAGCCAACCGTCCTAATCGGAGGTGCGGCGATACGTATTCATTATGAATCCTCATGTCGTCACGGCTAAAATCATTGGCGAGTGACATCTGAACCGGTCTTGCCCACCAGCATGATCAAGTATGGTCAGACAACCCCTATGACCGACACATCATCCAGTGGTGACATTGAAAATGACTGGAATCTATTTATTTTATTTTCCCATCATACGATCACCTTGCCGGGTTCCTCCACGGTCTCGCACGGCGAAGACCCCAGATCAAGCGGCGGTGGTGATTTCACCTCCTCCATCTGGTCCTGCTCCTCCTTCACCTCCTCCGCCTCCTCGGGGCGGAGGAGGTGACGTCCGCCGCGGCTCGCCGTGGTCCCAGCCGCGTGCTCTCGGCGACCTCTGGGATCTCGGGGGTCACCGCGGGGGGCTGGGGGTCCACGCAGCTTCGTCACGACGCACCCTACACGCGGCGGCAGCACCACCAGACCCCAGGAGGAAGCTCTCCGCCCCCCAACGGCGGCGGCGGCGGGGCGGCTGCCGCGCGGGTCCAGGGGCGGCAGCGCGGGCTGCGAGCGCGCGGCCGCCAGGGGTCGCGTCGAGGTCATGGCGGGGTCAGAGCCCGACGCGTGAGGGCGGCTGCCGCTGTGCAAGCTCGCGAACCTTCCCCGCGCCGAGCTCGAGGCCACGGTGACCTCCGACCCCTCGCTGTCCGCTGGCGTCCGTCCCCCGCTTCGGTCTCTTCCCGAGGGGTCGCCGCAGACTTCGCGGGGGTCCTTGACCGGCCCCCGCAAAAGTGACGACGACGACGAGGAGGAGGAGGATGAAGACGACGACGGCATCGACGGAGGCGTCTCGTGGGGCTCCACAGACCGATCGCCGCTGCACGCTCGCGGCTCAACGTCGCCACCAGCGTCGCGGCTGCCGCTCTTGGCTCCGGGTCGCAGGCACTCGTCCCCGGCGCTCGCTTCCGTCCCTGCGCCTGGAGGGTCGCAGCTAGGGGTTGGCGGCGGATGGGTCGTGGGGGCCCCCCGCGGGTCCTGCCGTCCGCCCCTTCGCGCCCCCCACAATGGCAGCAGCGGCGGAGAGCGAGCGGGGGCGAGGGGTCTCCCTCGGCGACCCTGCGGGAAGGCACCGTCGTCACCACCACCACCACCATCTTCATCACGATCATCGCTTCCGATTAGCACGGTTGGCTACGTACGGTGCGAAAGAAGTAATCATACAAATAATCGTCGTCCATCGTCAACAGCGGCAGCATTTGCCCATGCCCGAATCTCGCTGACTGCGTGACAATTTGTGGCCGATCTCGCAAGCCAAGCTGATTTTGAGCCTGGTTAGCGGTTGGGACAGCAAACTGTCTGGGAATACTGCGGTTGGTCGGCTTGTGCTGCTCGGTCGCCAGGAGATGGTGGCAGTGCAGCAAGATGCCTGAGTGCAGCTTCCCGTGTTCCACCTCCACGCGGCGCACGCCGCGGGCTTGTTTGCGGGAGCTCTGGGTCCCTCCCGCGCGAAGCCAAACGCTCATCGATGTGCGGTCGCGAGCAAGGAACAATCTGACACCCCATGCCCTGCTACCTCGCCCCGGTGGATTCCTTTTGTGGTATGGTAACGCCATGAATTGGTAGCCCACCGTCACAATTCCTGGGGTCTCGTCCGTTACTGCTCCCTCTTCACATTCTCATTGCGTGGCTGCGGCTCATTCCCCGTTCATACAAATCCATTCATCATCATTCACGGTCCTCAATTTCGCTTTCACCGAAGTCACGCGTCATCACAGATTTGCCCCCATTGCTTCAGGCGCGATGTAGATTCCCTTAAGATATTGGCCGAGCATCCTTAACATTACAGAACCCTCCTGAGAATTAGCCCCAACACTCAGTGAGGCTTTCCTGGGTAACTAAAGTGCATCATCATCATTATCATTCTTCTTATAACCGGGGACGTGGAAGTGGGGTCATTCTCTGAAATCCTGTCTCTCACTGTCTCCTCTCTTTGACCACAGGCACGCAAGCGGGCAAATTCCACAACCGCCATCGGGTACAAAATCTCCGCGCTTCTCCCATCCCTCGCCTTTGGCTCTCTGCGTCTCCTCCTGTCTCCTCCCGTCTCGCACGGAGGCACGGAGGCACGCACGGAGGCACGCACACACGCGTGAATTCTCCTCCACTCTCGGGGCCATTGTCTCGCTCTGCGTCTCTCTCGCCATCCGTCTCTCTCCCACTACTCTCACGCCCCCCCCCCCCCCCCCCCCCCGCTGTGTGTGCGCGTGTGTTCCCGTCTCGCGCGCACTCGCTCTCTGTTTTACTCGCTCGCTCTCTCTTTTTTTCTTCATTAGTTCTTAATTGTTGATTTTCATATTGTTTTTTTCTCTTATCCCTTTTTTTCCCCCTTCTCTCTTATCCCTCCCCGCCTCACTCTCTCACGCGCAGAGAGACACGTGCGCGCACCCACACACGCGTGCATTCTCCTCTCCTCTTGGGGACAGTGACAGGGCCGGCACCTCCGGCACGCGCTCCTAATTAGGAAAGGGAGGTGGGGGGGCGGGCGGACTTGAAAAGATTCCCACATTTCTCGACATACTACCCCCCCCCCCTCGTCCCGCCCGTCCGCCCGGCCTCCCCTCCCCTCTGGCAGGGTGATGGCGAGTGCCAGTGGTAGTGCTGGTTCTGGTAGTGTGATGGTGCTGTTATAATGCTGGTGGGGATGTGGTACGGGTCGCGGGGCACCACGGTGGCTAGGAGATGTTCACTCCCTCGCCTGGGATGCAGGAGGTCTTGGGTTCGATCCCGAGCCTGACGCTTGCTGCTGCTGTATATTTGGAGTTTGCGTGTCTCTCTCTCTCCCCGGAGTGGCGAGGATTTTTCTCCGGGTCCTCCGGTTTTTCCCTCCGCATTTAGAAACGTGCCCTTCGAGTATTTGGCTGCTGTAACTTGCCACGCGACAAGCCCACTTCGTTGAGCGACCATTTGTGACCGGGTCGCTTCTGAAAAAGAGCTTTATAGCTCAGTGGGCCTTACCTTGTAAACAAATAATAAAAAGATAGTTTAACGGTAGTTTTTAATAGATACTTTAAGTAGATTTTTGATTTGTTACACGGATGACACGGCATGGCCAGTTGCCTGGCTAATTTTACTCTGGAGATCCGTGGAGGGGAGGGGGGACGCGGGGGGGGGGGGGCATCTCCCTCCACCTGCCTGGCGATGAAAGACGTCCGGCAGTTGCTCCGCCGTGCGATTTTGTTTCCTCACCCCCCTCCCTCCCTCCTCTAGAAATATTTATTTATTTACATATTTGCTTCGTGTCTTTACCCCCAATCCCCCCCCCCCAAAAAAAAATATGTACGATTGCGCGTTTCGGGGGGCGACGCTGCGGAGATGCAGAATATGGAACCCTCGCAAAGGCCGTGAGTCGCGGGCCGCCGACTTTACAATCTCTGCAAACAAAGCTCCCGCGATGACCACATTTGTAAACAACTGTGTGTGGCCTTAACATGCAAAAAAATATATAACAGGTGACGTTTTGGACAATGGCCCTTCTTCATAACAAAAAATGCTACAAATAATTTGATGTATTAATTTGCGATGAACAAAAGCCATTTCCTGAAACGTCACCTATTATGTTTTTTTCCCCTGATGCGGTTAACTTAAAATTGCTCTATCTTTTCAATGTGTGCCGCAATCAATGTAATTCTTTCACCAGATTGACAAGGTAATGCAAAGAATAATACAAAAATAATAATAAAATTAAAGATTACAGTACAGGGACTCCTCTTCTTATGAACGAGCTAGTTTCCACAGGTCTGTTCGTAAGTCGATTTGTTCGTAAGTCCAACTTTACTCCTGTCGATTCCAAACATGTTGTATAATCTCCTGTATATGTAGATGCCACTGGTTCTTCACGTTCTGCAGATGTAGATGCCACTACCATCCTCTATTGTGCGGCTGTTGAATTCACGACTCTCGGTCAGAATTGTAAGTGGACATATGGACAGGCTTGTTCGTATCTCTGACAGTTCGTAAGTCGAATGTTCGCAAGTAGAGGGGTCTCTGTGCAGGACTTTACATACAACATTTCTCACGTAGCAGCCATCGCCCCCCTACTCACATATAGCCTAGCCAGGTGCCGCACAGGGACAGCTGCCCTATAGTGGGCAGTCTGCGCTCCGAGAAGCCGTAAAGAATTTAAAAGTTTAAAAACTACACACAGCAAATGTGAGACAAGGCATACTGGCTTTTTGCGCATTGTGCAAAAACCATCGGCAGTTCCTGAATGAGGCGCATGGCAAACGTGAGCGAAAGTGACCAGCTCGAAGTTGCAAGCAGCGATAGCCAACTATCAGGATTCGTCGCCACAGTACATTACACAATATATTCATTGTGATGGTGGCCTAAGACAAGGGGAGAAAACTGCACACTTCTTCAGGAACTGCTAATGGTTTATGTTATAATGCCAAATTGAAGGCTGCGTCCTTTTTGCACGTTTTTGCGTGTCGTTTGAAACTTCTGGATTTTACAGCCTGCACTTTTATTCTGTTATGATGATGATGATGGATATTTATCGTCAATGATAAATGCGCGGTAATTCGTATTTTTTTATTTGGACGGTACGGTTAGCGTGGATGCTGCTCGTGCTGCTGATGATCATGATATTGTTGGTGCTGCCGATGATGAGAATGATATTGGTGCTGCTGATGTTGGTGCTGCGGATGATGATGATGATGATAACGATAATGGTGCAGATGATGATATTGGTTCTGTTACTGATGATGATATCGGTGCCGCTGATGGTGACGATGATGATATTGGTGCTGCTGATGATGACGATGATATTGGTGCTGCTGATGACCATGACAATGGTGCTCATGATGATGACGATGATGATATTGGTACTGCTGATGATGACGATGATATTGGTGCTGCTGATGACCATGACAATGGTGCTCATGATGATGACGATGATGATATTGGTGCTGCTGTGATGACGATGACAATGGTGCTCATGATGATGATGACGATGATGATATTGGTGCTGCTGATGACGATGACAATGGTGCTCATGACGATGACAATGGTGCTCATGATGATGATGATGATATTGGTGCTGCTGATGACGATGACAATGGTGCTCATGATGATGATGATGGTGCTCATGATGATGATGATGACGATGTTCTCACCTGCTTGCCCCGGGACCTGGTGAGCCAGGAGTAGGCGCACGTGCGGCCGTTCGGTGCCCCATCGCGCCCTTTGCACGGGGCAACCTGAGAGAGAGAGAGAGAGTCACGTGAGGAGCAGCGGCAGCAAGTGGCGAGAGGGCATCAAGCAGACAGCTTGTTGTTGTCTTTAGTTGGTTGTCCTCTCGATTAGCGCGGTTGGCTGCGTACGGTGCGAAATAAGTTACATGCACGTTCGTACAGAACAAATTCAGGCCCCAGGTGCAAGCAAGGGGACTCATGAGAATGCAGAATTGTCGCTGGTCTACTCAGAAAAAAACTTCACCGTGACTCTTTTTTTCAAGAGGGTCCTGCCGAGTTGTTTTGTTGTTCTTGTTGTTGTTGCTGTCGGGGAGCGATGGTGGTTGCTGTTACGTGCGATCCCAATTGAGTAATTTGAAGGTATTTTTTTATCTCTCTGACATTTGGCAAATTTGAAATTGGTATTGGGATCTTTGGCCAGTGCCAGTTACGTTCACAGAGGTGCACAAACATCACCTCAAATCCACAGCCATATATACTCTTACACGGCGAGGCGTTATTTTAATAACGCGATTCTGTGTCGACTCAGCCTGAACTGAAACGCTGCTGCGGCTGCGTGGTGTTAGCCACGCGGTCACCTCGTGTGCCGTCCCGGCCCTCAGAGGTGCAAGTCAACGGCAACTTTGCCTCCAGCAGTCTGTTTAAGGGCTACACGGGGCATCTTTGTTGTGGGTTTGGAAAGGGAGGGGGGGGGTGCAGCGGTTAGCGCTACGCTGCGCTATGGACCCGGCGACCCGAGTTGGATTCCCGCTCACGGCCACTAACACCAGTGACGATTATCTGAACTGATCCTGGGCCTCCCCTAGGTGGACTCAGCCTCAAATGAGTACCTGGTGCGGTGTGTAATAAACATCGCCACTGGGGAGACAAAGGCGGCCGGGTGTAGTGCTGGCCACCCACCCCCAGACGCACCGTGACACAGACTCCAGCCGCGCAGTCCAGAGCCCCCCCTCCGACCCCGTCCGCGCCCCCCAAAGGGGGCCGCGTAGGGGGGGAGGGGAGGGGGCGGCTGGGTCCGCGCGGGAGCCCTGAGAGATCCGTGCCGAGGGGGGTTCCTCCTTCTTTCGTGGATTCCACTGTGGGGTGCGGAGCCTCCCGGCCGTACCCGAGGGGTCCCGTCATCAGCTCAGACCAGTGGACTGGGTGGAGAAGGAGTGGTGGGGGGGAGGGGCAAGAGTGCAGTGTAGTAAAATCCACTGTTGTACTGTATCGCTACGCTCCCGCGTCTGGAATGACAACAAGAACTCTGAGGTGGGCGGATATAGATCTCCTCCTCTGCATCCCCAGAAGGAAGCTCAAATGATTGGGTGATCTTCTGGGCCTTCTCTCACGTGACACCCGCACGGTGGAACTCTCTGGGCCTTCACTCACGTGACACCCGCACGGTGGAACTCTCTGGGCCTTCACTTCCGTGACACCCGCACTGTGGAACTCTCTGGGCCTTCACTCACGTGACACCTACACTGTGGAACTCTCTGGGCCTTCTCTCACGTGACACGCGCACTGTGGAACTCTCTGGGCCTTCACTCACGTGACACCCGCACTGTGGAACTCTTTGGGCCTTCACTCACGTGACACCCGCACTGTGGAACTCTCTGGGCCTTCACTCACGTGACACCCGCACTGTGGGATTCTCTGGGCCTTCACTCACGTGACACCCGCACTGTGGAACTCGCTGGGCCTTCACTCACGTGACACCCGCACTGTGGGATTCTCTGGGCCTTCGCTCACGTGACACCCTCACTGTAGGACTCTCTGGGCCTTCGCTCACTTGACACCCGCACTGTGGAACTCTCTGGGCCTTCACTCACGTGACACCCGTACTGTGGAACTCTCTGGGCCTTCACTCACGTGACACCCGCACTGTGGAACTCTCGGATATCTATCTGACTTGGGTCATTTAAACCATGTAACCATGTTCAAGTTTTCATCATCGCACGTTAATGGTAACAAGATGAATCTGCCTTCCCCGGTATTGGACATCTGTGGAAAAAAAATATATAGATTCATAGCTCATCGGATTTCTCAAGGGTAAATGAAGATGTCCCATTCTGAAAGTTGTCTCATTGCCCAGTTGAGATGGACCGAGACCGGGTACCTCGCCCGTGAAATGTTCGCCCGCGCGTCCCCCCTGCAAGCTCTGCCTCCTCCTCCTCCTCCTCAACAACAACAGACAGAGGACACAAGGCAGGCGAGGCGTTTGTTACGTCCACGTGGTGACTGCCCCTTTTCTTCATGTCTAGGCGATAGGACGCTTGCTCTTTCGGCAAAAGTCAAAGCGGTTTTCTGCTCAAACGAGCAGCGAGGCATCTCCTGCGAGCCAGTGGGTGGACATTCCTCGTTCCTATGACGGCGACGAGTCTGTCCATTTGACAGTCAAAATACGGTGCTCGTTTGATCGATCCCCAGAGAGGGGGGGGAGGAGGATGGGCTGAGTGAACACCTCCAACTCGCTATCCCTCTGAGCCGCCTGAGCTGGCTATTTAAGGAACAGATTACTCGAATAATTATAATCGGAGAGCACGAAAACAGTCGGGACTCTTAAAGTACCGCAGGGATCATCGGCCTCGCGTCACGCTAGACGTCACATGTTGGGGGGTTTCTCGCCTTTCTCGAGGCAGGATTGGTTGGGCGGCCAGCGGTTTTTAAAGGGGTCCGAGTAATTGACCACGGGATTTATGCAAGTACAGTGTCATCATCATCATTATCGTTGTTATCACAACAAACACCACTACCGACATCATCACCAAGACAACCACTACCACCACAACTCTCCTCCTCCGCATCATCATTTGCCATAACAAATACCACGTACAAATCTCAATCAATGGCTATATTAATTGTCATCCTAATCAATACCCACAATCGTGATTAATACAATATCAAAAGCAGTCGCTGAAATGTTAGTCGATTAATCGACCGAAACGAGTAATCGTCCCGGCTCCACCGTGTGTGTGTCCAGTGATCCGATCACAAGCATTATAAGCAGGCTGATGGTGGTGGTCACTGTGGTGGTGGTGGTCACCATGGTGGTGGTGGTGGTCACTGTGGTGGTGGTGGTGGTCACCGTGGTGGTGGTGGTTACTGTGATGGTGGTGGTGGTGGTCACTGTGGTGGTGGTCACCGTGGTGATGGTGGTGGTGGTCACTGTGGTGGTGGTCACCGTGGTGGTGGTGGTGGTGGTCACTGTGGTGGTGGTGGTCACTGTGGTGGTGGTGGTCACTGTGGTGGTGGTGGTGGTCACTGTGGTGGTGGTCACTGTGGTGGTGGTTACTGTGGTGGTGGTGGTCACCGTGGTGGTGGTCACTGTGGTGGTGGTGGTCACTGTGGTGGTCACTGTGGTGGTGGTCACTGTGGTGGTGGTTACTGTGGTGGTGGTGGTCACCGTGGTGGTGGTCACTGTGGTGGTGGTGGTCACTGTGGTGGTCACTGTGGTGGTGGTCACTGTGGTGGTGGTGGTCACTGTGGTGGTGGTGGTTACTGTGGTGGTGGTGGTGGTCACTGTGGTGGTGGTGGTGGTGGTCACCGTGGTGGTGGTGGTGGTGGTCACTGTGGTGGTGGTGGTGGTTACTGTGGTGGTGGTGATGGTTGCTGTGGTGGTGGTGGTGGGTGTCTCTAAATACAACAGCTGTTGGCAATTCCCCAGACTGGGCCAGTGTCGTCACTTACGTCCGTGTGAGTGCAGCCTTCAAATATAACTTCAGCTGCACTCAGAGACACAGATAAAAAATATAAATACAGTATGCACACCCAAACACGTACATACACATATACAATACTACGTATATGATATATAACACAGAGCAACGTGGTCACAGAAATACAAATACAATGATCCCCTCATATAACCTTAATATACTGTTGGGGCAAGTGTTGTTAGCGAGAAACTATGAAGGCCGGCACGGCACACAAGGGGGTTAGTGACCAGCACCACACCCGGTCGCCTTCATCTCTCTCGTTGCAATGTTTACACATGCACACGCGAAAACACACACAAACACACGCGGGTAAATAGTTTCCTCGCCGCAAAAGGTGATTGAAGATGGTGAAAGCGATGGCTGCAGATCTTACAGCTGGAGAGCGATGGATTATTTTGAAAGTGCATTGACATTGGTAAAGATGACAAACAAACAAAAATCATCACCGTCATCATCATCATCAGAAACGCCCAGGCGACGAAGGCACCTTTTGCGAGAGTCTGCGTGTGTCCACGTGTCACCGCTGCGTTCTTAGAAGGCCCTCCTGTGAAGCTCGCCCTTCGTATGCATAGAGCGATACACACACGGAGGGGCTTTGAAATGAAACATTCCGGTGAGGGCGTCTATAAATGGAACAACCCTGTATAAATGGAACAACCCTGTATGACTTGGCTGGAGTCAGCAACCGTGGGCTTTAGATACACAGAGGAACACACACACACACACAGACGAACACCCACCACGTAGCCTTTAACATATTTTTAGGGCAAGTGCTGTTAGCGAGCACCTATGAAGGCCGGCATGGCAACACAAGGGGGTGGGTGTCCATTACGAAGCCCCGAGGCATTTGTCCCCGCACTGTGTACACACCGCGCTCAGTTCTCATTTAAGGCTGAGTCAACCTAGGGGGAGACCAAGGACCGATTCGGCGCGAGGTGAACTCACCACCGCGCCACCGCTCCCACCACATACACGTGAACTCACCCCGCCCCCCCCCGCGTGTGACACTTGTACGTATTGACTCACAGGTCGCGACCACGTGTCCTTCTGGCTGTCCATCGTTGAACGCCACCCGCGCCGTTAGCGAGCACCAAATTCGTCTCCAGGAGGTCGATCCCCTTCCCTCCAGGGCGCGTCCCTCCTCCCGCCTCCCAACCAAGGGAGCCGAAGTCGACAGCGGCGGCGTTTGCTCTCTGCTGAGTTTTATAGAGGAGGAGGAGGAGGCGCGGAGTGGGGGGGGGCTGTTAGAGAGCGAGGGGGGTGGTGAGTGTGGACAGGAGAAGGAGGGGATGGAGAATGATGCTGTTGGTGATGATGATGATGATGACGGCAGTTCGGTGATGGGTGATGCGAGGACGGGGATTCGTGGGTCGCCATCCCGGGAATGTGGGGATTGCAGGATGCGGAGTCCAACAGCCGTCGATCCCATAGAGGGCATCTACTCGAGTGCTGCTAAATTAAAATCGGCTCAAGGGGCGTCTGTGATGAAGACATCAGCGCCCATTCGTCGCCCTCACTCTTGCATTTCGGATTCTCGGCTCCTCCAACGCAGTCGTGTCCGTACTCGCCCGACGTTCATCCTGGACGATACGTAAGGGACAATTGGCGTGCAATCCCTCCACCTCTCTCTCTCTCTCTTTCCTCGCCTTGGCCCATACAACACGTCCACTGATGGCGCTCGCTTGCGATTCGCTCGGCGTGTGTTTCTATTGCTCTGCCGCTCGCAGATGGCAGTGAGTCGGTGGCCGCCGAGCTTTTTGATGACATTTGGACAGCGGGAATATTCCTCGTCCTTGTGCTGTTTTGGTTCTATTGCTTTTGCGTTATAAGCGAAATAAGGTTCCACGAAGAAGGGTCATTGCTCAAAACGTCGCTTGTTTATTACGCATTTCCTTTTGAGGCAGTTTTTGACGCATGTTAGAAACTGCCTCTTATTTCTGCTTGCGAACCACTGCCAACTCAATAGCACCAAATTATAATGATCATCATGATGATGATGATGATCATCATCATCCGGTAATCCTCGCAGCGGCGGCTTCTGGCTCACCATCGAACAAAGACGGTGGTCACCGCATCACGCGGCGCTTTCAGATGCGCTTCTGCGGCCGTCTGGAACACTCTTCCTTCCGGTATTAGGAAGCCACTGGAACTATGCACTTCTTAAATCATCTAGCTTTAAAACGCATTTGTTTAGGACTGCTTTGTGTGTTTAGTTTGTTGTCCTTCCCCCGAAACTCCGATTAGCACGGTTGGTTACGTACGGTGCAAAAGAGTGGTATCCGCTCTGACAATGGGAGAGGGAAACCAGCATCCGGGGCTTGCGTTCCAGAGGGTCCCATCGTTTCTACGGGGTGATCTTGCCAGGAGCATCTGGTAATACGGCAGCACTGTATTCAAAAGCCATTCTCAATCCCCTAACAGATGAAGGCCTTCCCACGCCGTGTAGGTTATGGTGGTTATTTGACCAAACTTCACCACGCTGGTCAAACTCCATTCCTCCCACCGTTTAAGTGTCACTCAGGCCGCTTCACGCTGCACGCGCCGGATGCTTGTTGAACACGGGCGCACGTGGCCTTTGAGGCGCGCTGATGACTTTGGGAGTCGCTCGTTAAGGGGCGGTGTGCCTCTGGATACGGGTGCGCGCCCGAAACGTCTTCCGTGGCGAGGCTGAAGAAGAAGGAGGAGTTGGAGGGGAGCTGTGGCTGCCACGGGTGTGGGATTTGTGGGATTACTGCGGGAGCGGCGTGGGGGGCACGGAGAGAGATGAGACGCGCGACTTTGCCTTCGCGTGGCCTCGGCGAGACGCGTCAACAGCGCGCGGCAACCTCTACGCGCCTGCCTCGTGATGCGTGCCGGCCTCAGCGAACGACGATGATGATGAAAATTATGACGATTGTGAGGATAATTATCACGATGATGAAAACAATGATGGTGATTATGAAGACAATGCTGATGGAGACAAGTGATTGTGATTTAAAGAGTTACAGACACCAATTATGTACATGACTGAATATTTATGATGATGATGACGAGAGCAATGATGATGACAATCACAACGATTGCCACAACGATGACAACACCGACGATTGCGATGACGCCGGAGAAAATATCGACCGTGACGATGATGACGACGACGATGACGACGCACGGAAGAGTCTCCTCCTCTGCGCGACTCCTCATTTACACGTAATAATAATAATAATCATCACGATGACGACGACGCTTTGGAACGGTCCAATATCCAATGTCTATTGTCTCCTAACGCACGACCGTCGTTATAAATTAACTCGTTATCACCCTCCCAATCGCCTCCTCCCGGCATTCCACCGCCACGCCTCCCACCACCTCCCAGCCGATCCCCGTTGTCTTGCAACGAGAGGCGCCGCGGTTAAAACAAAACAAAAAGAGGCGCCACCTCTTTTTCGGAGGATAATCACAAGCGCAGACTGGACCCTCGCCCCTAGGCGATTGCAATTAATTGGATGTTGGGACGAGAGCGCAAGCGATGAGTTGTCGAGAAATGAACCTGCCGAGCGCGTGCGCGCACACACACGCGCGTGTATGTTGCGTGTTGTGTCTGGATGTACTTTATATACTGATGTGTCGGTGCTCGCTAGCAGCACTTGCAACCAAAGGTCTGTTAAGGCTATAAGGGGAGCTTTTGTTTGTAGATTGAGCGGGGTGGTTGGGTGGGTGGGGAGGTGGCGACCCGAATCTGGCCAACACCGGTGACGATTATCTGAACCTGTCCTGGGCCTCCCCTAGGTCGGTTCAGCCTCAAATGAGTATCCGGTGTTGTGTGTAAACAAGGCCACTTGGGAGACAAAGGCGGCCGGGCGTGATGCTTGGTCACCTACCCCATCATGTACTGTTCCGACGTCAATGGGTGTTCGCCGACAGCACCTGCCCCAAAAGCAGATGAAGGCTATACGGGGGATCTGTGTCTTGTGTGTGTGTTTATGAGGCTGCCGTATTTCCCACAACAGCGGATGTCTGAGCAACGTCGCTCACAACAACGAGTCGAGCGCCTGGGCGGTCAAAACGAAACAAGTTGGCACATTGGGGAGCACAGGTGGTGCATTTGCCAGCCATCTCAGTCAGTCAACCCATGCATGGGGGTGCCCCTTGACTTCCTGCGAGCGAGCCTTCCACACTTCACGTGGCCTCAAGGTGCACCTAGCCTGGCACAAGCTTCGCGGTGACGTCAGCGCCTCTTCGTGGCGAACGGCAGTGATTTGTTTATGCACAAACGTACATCATCGTAATCATCAACAGCAGCAGCAACGATCAATCCACTGCTGGATGAAGGTCTGCCCGAAGCCATCGCCATCTCTCACGATCCTGCGATGCAGCAATCCATCTCTAGCACCTGCACCTCGAGCTGATTCCATGGCTCCGTCTCCCCGCTGGAGGTTTTCTACGAGGAGGCGGTGCGGATTAACTCGGCTCGTGTGCGCACACATACAAAGACCCCCCGTGTAGCCTTAACAGACTGTTGGGGCAAGTGCTGCTCTTAGCGAGCACCTATGAAGGCCGGCACGGCACACGAGGGGGTGGGTGGCCAGCACCACGCCCGACCGCCTTTGTCTCCCCCCGTGGCGTTCCTTTTTTATACACAGCGCACCAGGTAATAATTTAAGGTTGAGTAGACCTAGGGGAAGACCAGAACCGGTTCAGATAATCGTCACTGGTGTTGACCGTGAGCGGGAATCGAACTCGAGTGGCCGCACCTTTGATTAGCACGGCTGGCTACGTACGGTGCGACTGAAGTTCAAACATACACGATGATGACCCGTGTAGCCTGTAGCAGACTGTTGGGGCAAGTGCGGTCAGCGAGCACCTATGATGGCCGAGACGGCACACGAAGGGGGTGGGTGGCCACACCACGCCTGGCCGCCTTTGTCTCCCTCGTGGCGATGTTTACACACCGCACCAGGTACCCATTTAAGGCCGAGTCGATCTAAGGGAGACCCCAGACCGGTGCAGGAATCGAACTCGGGACGCCGGGGTTGGTAGCGCAGCGTGCTAACCGTTACAATACCGCACCCCTACCACTCCCTCGAGGGGGTGGTGTGGTAAGAAACACCACCACGCCCGGCCGCCTTTGTCTTACCCTCCCCCCCCCCGGCAGTCCTGATGTTCACACACCACACCAGGTTGCTCACTTAAGACTGAATGGACCTGAGGGAGGCCCTGGACTGGTTCGGACAGCAGTCGCCACTGACGTCAGCCGTGGTCGCGGATCAGAGTCAGGTCGTCGGGTTTATAGCGCAGTTGCGCGAACCATTGCGCCACCGCTCCACACAGACACGCACACGACAAAGACGCTGCCTGTAGCTGTCTGGGTCGCTAGGGATAACACCCTCTCTCTCTCCCTCCCTCCATCTCCCACTCGCACGGCCTCACCCTTCTGTGTCTCAAGTCATTATTTTCTCTTTCACTCTCTCCCCACTTCCTCTTTTTTTACCTCCTCCTCATCCTCCATCCCTCCCTTTATCCCTCCCTCTCTGTCTCCATCCTCCACCATCTCTCCCCCTCCCAGCTCTCCCTCCATCCCCTTCCATTCCCCCCTCCGCCTTCCCTCCATCCCTCTCACCCCCTCCATCTCTACCTCCCTCCATCTCTGTCTCCATCTCTCCTTCCCTCCATCCCTGTCTCCCTAACCCCTCTCCCCATCGCCCTCCATCTCACCCTCCCTCTATCCCTCCTCTCTCCCTATCCCTCCATCTCTCCCTATCCCTCCATTCCTCCTCTCTCCCTATCCCTCCATCCCTCCTCTCTCCCCCTGTGTGTGTGTGTTTTGTATGCCGCCGGTGTGCGCGTTCTCCCATGCATCACATCCCGCAAACTCCGCGCTTCGGTTACAAAATTTTAAAGAAAATAACAGCAGAGACGGGGTTAGTGGGTGGATGGGGGGCCGGGTGGAGGGGGCCGGGGGGAGGGGGCCGGGGGGATGTGGGGAGGGGGGCTGGAGATGTCTCATCAGTGACGATGCCCCCGTGGTCATAGTGGCAGTGTTGGTGGGGTAGTGGTGAAGGTCACGGAGGTCGTAGAGACGACGTCGACGATGGAGACGACTTTAATGATGACGATGTTACAAATCACACACACACACACGATTTAGAACGTCATGTATCGTGAGCTTAAGGATCGATCTTAATCAATGAATAGACGCATCGGGACACCTCTCCATATCAGTATCAATCCACTGCTGGATGAAGACGTCCCCACCCCGTGGTCAATGCGGGTTGAAGGTGGAGATTATGACCAGTCCACCCGCCACTGATGTTAGCCGCGACCGGTAAACAAAACTGGGGTCGCTGGGTTCGCAGTGCAGTGCGCTCACCACAGCGCCACCGCTCCGCCTACACAGCTGCGGAGGCGTTGAGATGTATACCTACGTATGTGCGTATGTATGTTGAACTTCTTTCGCACCGTACGTAGCCAACCGTGCGAATCGGTGGTGCTGGGGGAAGGGACAACAAACTAAACACAAGGAGCAGTTCTAAAGCAATGCGTTTTCAATATACATTTAAAAGTGCACAGCTCCAGTGGCTTCCTAACATCGGAAGGGAAGAGCGTTCCAGACGGCCGCAGAAGCGCATCTGAAAGCGCCACGCGATGCGGTGACCGCGTGCGTTCGATGGCCAGCAGCCAAAAATCCGCCGCTGCGAGGATGACCGCAGTTGCGCGTGGCGCTCAATGCTCCTTGACGAGACTTCGCAGGGCATGCGCGTGCACAGGTGTACACGTGCACAGATGTAAAACGTGCACAGGTGTACACGCGCACAGGTGTACACAGGTATGCGCGTGCACAGGTGTACACGTGCACAGGTGTACACGTGCACAGGTGTACACGTGCACAGGTGTACACGTGCACAGGTGTACACAGGTATGCGCGGGTTCAGTTGAAACGCGCACGAAGCAGAGGGAGGGTGGTGGGTGAGTGGAGGTGCAACAGCGCCGTCCACTCTGAGCCGCTCATTGACTCTCCGAGACTCGCAGGGGCAAGCAACACGTGTCACGATCACGAAGCACGCTTCCACTCTCGGTACACTTCAGCTCCATCGCCCCCCACCCCCACTTCCTCTCTCTCCTCCATCTCTCTCCCTCTCTCTCCCTGTGCACCGCGATGATGTAGCGCGTTATACTCGAGAGCGGGCAACTTCTCGTCCGTCACCGCCTCGCAAGCACCGAACAACGGGGAGCCCAGTGCGTTCCAGCCGATTGAAGTTCGGCGCAATCATTTGACTAAGCGGACACACTCGATTCATATTCACGGGCGTCGATGCATCCAGCGAATAAATTAACACGTAAGATGAATGGTTGTAGGAACAAAGTAATGGATGAATGAAGTCAGTCCACGTGCGTTCGCGGGCATCTCGTGCGCATGCGCCCCGCTCTCCCGCCCCCCCCCACCCCCCGTCGAAGATTCGTCCCCCACCACTCTCCGCATCCCATCACCTGCGTCATCCGTTGCTAGGAGGCAGCATCAAGAAGCTAATTCAGGGTCCTCTGATCCTGCGGCCGCTTGTCCCGCAACGAGGCACTCACTCAGGCGCCCTCACGCAGCAGCGGCAGCAGCAGCGGCAGCAGCGGCATCATAACCCCGCATGTGCGGCTGCGCTCCAGGATCCCCCCCCCTGCATCGCAGTAGAGGGTTTCAGATCATCCCTGAAATCCAGGCTAAGAGGTTCAGACCATCATCATTAATTCTAAATCATCATCGTTGATATTACTGTCATCGTGGTCACTGGATTGTAAGCCTCATCCCTAACTCTAACGTCAACACTGCTTCTGACTCCTCACTTTGCATCATCATCAATCAAATGATCGTTAAATATATAAATAAAAATTCCTTAAAATCGTCACTGCAATATTAAGTTCCTCCTTAAGGATAACATCATCCCTGCACTGTCTCCCCACTTATCATCATCCTATATTATCATCATCATCATCATACGTGATCATCACCATCACTCGAATTCCACCCCTGCTCTGCACGTCGCCTGTCCACTCGGAGCCGCTCCGAGTTCGAGGTGGCGAGGAGCAGCGTGGAGGGGGCTGGGGAAGGAGGAGGAATCGAGAAAATAATAAAGGAGGATAAAGAGGAGGCACAACAACAGCAGCGGGACACGGAGGAGCTCCGGGATCAGGAGGCTAAAGTCAAAAGGAAGAACAGGAGAAAGATAATTGCAGAAAAACATCAGCAGGAGGATCGATAGATTTTGAGTTATATAGGAAGACGATTTGAGTGTAGAAAGATCAGTAGAGGATCGCGAGGATTGAGAGGAGGATCGATAGAGTAGGAAGATCAACAAAGAATCATCGGGAGGAGGAGGTCACGATACGTTGCTCTTGTGGGATGCGCGCCGTCCCCTGCGGGCCGGGACGAGGCTGAGTGGCGATGTGAGCACGAGCGAGGGCGACACGATGGTGAGCACGCAACGCTCCGACCGCTCAATGTTCATCTTCACCCAATCACGAGCCACCATCGTCGGCCGTGATCGTCGTCGCTCGCCACTCATCATTGTGTTCGCCACTGGTGTTCTACTTGCTGCTGCTGTTGTTGTTCACAATGCTGATTGTGACGATTGATTTTGATGTGGATTCATGTTGTCGATGCAGTTGTAGTTTTTCTGTTATTGACGATGACGCTATGATTGTTGTTGTTATTGTTGATATTATGGTCGTTGTGGAGTGGAAAGCAATGAGTTCACGGAACCTGCCCTCTGTGCACGCGAGCGTCACCGACCTTGAAGGTGGCTGACTCAGCCCATCATGCTGGCGGAGAGGGGGGGTCGATAAACTCGAACTGCTTTTTGGTGAAGTGAAGAGTCGCTATCCTATGGACAGACTCCCATCCCCCCCCCCCCCCCGCCTCCGCCATCGGAATGTGGAATTGCCAGTGCTAGTTCAGGGCTGTATACAGGAGATGAGCATCGCTTCAATGCTCATTTGAGCAGCACACCACCTTGACATTGGCCAACTCCATGAGGATGTTGACCCGCAAGGCTTACTTGGTACCTATTTGTGCATTGAACTTCTTTCGCACCGTACGTACTCAACCGGAGGTGCGGAGTTCACTGAGTGCATGGTATATATGAAAGTTACCCAATTCTCGGCCGTCCACAGGACATTCGCTACAAGTACACAGCGCGCTTGCGCAGGGCTCGTCGCGGCTAGAAGGGATTCATGGCCTGATGGTCAAGAATAATAACGGAGTGGCGGCCAAGGGATGCAACGCGTCCCAGAGGACCGCGAACCACGGAGATGGAGCGACAAAAGGCGGCTCGTGTGCCGGGGCTGTAGGTGGATTGTTAACAGCAGAGAGGCCGTGGAGCATCGTGGTCAGTGCACCGCGCCACGGACCCGGCCACCCGGGTTCGATTCCTGTCTCAGCATCTGGTGCGGTGTGTAAGCATCGCCACTTGGGAGACAAAGGTGGCCGGGCGTGGTGCTGGCCACCCAACCCCTTGCCTTCAAGGGTGCTCCTCGCAAACAGCACTTGCCCCAACCGTCTGTTCAAGGCTATACGGGGATCTTTGTATTACTAACATAAGACGTCAGAGGTGTCAGAGGTTTAGAGAGACCATTCATCCAGCAGTGGATTGACCATGGCTGATCATGATGATATGGTGGTTCTTATCTTGTAGCTACAGCACTCACCTCGGGCTCTGCGGCTTGTGCTGTCCCACACGAGTTGCAATTGTCCTGGATGACAATAAAATAATCAACAAACCACTCAACAGATTCGCCAAGAACACTCTGGCCTTGAAAGGGAACAAAACAACCATTTGCTGTATATAAATTGCACGACGTTTCAAGCAATCAACCTTCTGCAAAGCACGTAAGAGAGACGGTGGATAATAAGAGTTGGAGGCTGCACTTAACACCATGGGGCCTGATATATATATATTTTTTTAAATTCCGATGACCAGTTTTTTTAATTGGCTCATGAATCGTTAGTTAATTAACAGTAGCTAATGAATAACAGACAAAACATTAAATGTCACACAAAGTACTCTAAATAATAAATAAACTAATTGTATTCATGTCAATGATCACCGCGGACAGCCACAAACAGGCGCCTCGGTCACTTTCAAGTCGTTTCGTTCTCTCTTTTTACTCGCTACAAAAAGTTTCGCCTTTTCTGCGCGGCAACCTGCAGGCACAGTCGCACGCAGCCCGGTGGCTCGCCAGCGAGAGCCGTGCGAGTTTGTTGTAACCTCCCTCCCGCGCGCACCTCCGATTGGCACGGTTGGCTACGTACGGTGCGAAAGAAGTTCACCGTACATACACACACACATACATAGGAACCGGACACTCGCTCAACTGAGTTCTCAGTCAGTGGTAATCCACGCCAAGGGCGACCTCTATGCCAGCGGTTCCCAATGTGTGGCCTGCGGACCACCAACTGGTGCTGCTGCAGCAGCGTTGGTAGTGGTGCACAAACAACAATACACGTTAACAAACAACAATACACGTTAACAAACAACAATACACGTTAACAAACAACAATACACGTTAACAAACAACAATACACGTTAACAAACAACAATACATGTTAACAAACAACAATACATGTTAACAACAACAATACACGTTAACAAACAACAATACACGTTAACAAACAACAATACATGTTAACAACAACAATACACGTTAACAAACAACAATACATGTTAACAAACAACAATACACGTTAACAAACAACAATACACGTTAACAAACAACAATACACGTTAACAACAACAATACACGTTAACAAACAACAATACACGTTAACAAACAACAATACATGTTAACAAACAACAATACACGTTAACAACAACAATACACGTTAACAAACAACAATACACGTTAACAAACAACAATACATGTTCACAAACAACAATACACGTTAACAAACAACAATACACGTTAACAACAACAATACACGTTAACAAGCAACAATACACGTTAACAAACAACAATACATGTTAACAAACAACAATACACGTTAACAAACAACAATACATGTTAACAAACAACAATACACGTTAACAAACAACAATACACGGTAACAAACAACAATACATGTTAACAAACAACAATACATGTTAACAAACAACAATACACGTTAACAAACAACAATACACGTTAACAAACAACAATACATGTTAACAAACAACAATACATGTTAACAAACAACAATACACGTTAACAAACAACAATACACGTTAACAAACAACAATACATGTTAACAAACAACAATACATGTTAACAAACAACAATACACGTTAACAAACAACAATACACGTTAACAAACAACAACACATGTTAACAAACAACAACACACGTTAACAAACAACAATACACGTTAACAAACAACAATACACGTTAACAAACAAACAACCTCAACACTGCGGCCTTAAAAGGAATGCAAAACATATATAACGGACGACGTTTTGGGCGATGCCCCTTCTTCAGAGCACATCGTTTACAAAAAGGGGTTCGAATTGATCCATCAGATGGCGCGGATGGTGGGTGGGTGGCGGGGGGGGGGGCTGACGGGGTGAGTGCGGGGGAGGCATTGAGGCCGGGTCCGAGGCCGCCGATTTGATGTCCTTTATTTAACCAGACGAGAGAACGCAGTCCGCATTCATTTACCATCCATCCCCATAAGTCCCGCAGCTGTCTCCGCTGCGCGACCGCCGCCCACCGTAAGCTGGGGCCGACGACGCACTGCGAATAAAACGCCACTTTGAATCGTGGCCACATCGCTTCTAGAGAGCGGCGTTGAGGGCCGCGCGCGTGCCGTTTAATTGTCCCCCTTTTTGTTCGCTCTCGATTGGAAGCTTTCGCGACTGCAGGAATCCGTGCTCTTTGGTTCTTTCGGTAAAGTCACGTGGGTATAAAATAAAATAAATCACGGCGTTTCGATCGCAACACACAAGCGGTCGTCCTCAGGCGGAAAAAAATATATCATCCAGCAGTGAAACTGCTGAACCTACGTGACTTCACCGAAAGAACCAAATAGTTCCCTTTCGTTGTTTCATGCGGCGCTTCGTTCGATTGAAGTTGCGGCTCACGCTGACCCACGTTAACCCCCCCAACCCTTATCGCCGGGACCGCGATTCCAAGGTACTTGCGGGGGGGTGGGGGGCGCTGAATGAATGCCCAGATAATCATTACAACTAAACAATCGGCAGCGACTTGATCATCAAAATCCCATTGCCACGCGTGAGCGCAGAGCAACAACAACACAACACCACACAACCCCTCCAGCTCGCGCGCTTTGAACGGCTGACGTTTGAATGTTTTCACAAATATAAAAAAAATGCTACCGCCACCACTGTCATCGCCGTTGTTGCCACAGTGCTATACATCAGCAACAGCAGCGAATCCGGCCAGGTGGCTCAGCAGTAGAAAAGCAAGCAGCTTGTGATCGGAAGGCTCGCGAGTTCAAATCCTGGTTGTGGAGGTTTTCAGTTTATTTATTTTGGTATAGCCCTGTGAACCATTCGGCTTTTGAATCGGGTGCAACCACAACAAACAAAAAAACAAAAACACGAACAAGAAAAACATCTTAAAGTGACTATGTGTGTCTGTGCAAACAGAAAATCCATGAAAAAAACAGCAAAATGTTACTGAAAAAAGCACCGTACACCAACGCTGTGTGCAAAAAAATCCCAGTGGGATGCAAGTCAAACAACAACAACCACAAGAAAACTTAGATTAAGGCCATCAGTCTAACTCCGTGGAGGTGATCCATTATCCCCCACGGGGTCGAGAGGATGAGTGCAACTTTGTCGAGAACTCAACAGTGGTTGTCTTACGGCTCGACTCCTCCCCGCCATGGGAATGTGGAATTACCAGCATTGGCTCGGGGCTGTAAAGAATAGATGAGCACCGCGTCAATGATCATTAGAGCAGGGTACCACTTTGATTTTGAACACCAGCTATATCATCATATTAACGGCATCACCGTCAATCAAAATTATTATAAACATAATTGTCAATCATCACCGTCAATCAGAATGATCATCATATTAACAGATCATCGATATCATCATAATTACGGGCAGCATAAAATCCCAACATGATCGTAAATTCATAAAACAACTTTTGCTCGGGTTACCGTGAGCGGTGATCCATCCACTGCTGGATGAGGGCGTCCCCCGTGCCGTGGCCATCACGGTCCAGCCCAGCGCCTTGCACACAAAGCCCATTCCATGGCTGCACGTGTTTGCCCTCCTTTGGCTGCCAATCCGTCGTTAGTCTCGACCATCGTCGCTTCCAGCGACGCGTTCTGTCCACAAGCGCGCTTACTTTTCTTCAGAGTCAGCGTTGTGTGCCTGCTATGTGACTCTCTCATGTTCTCGAGTCGACGTGTTCATCATTCTGGCTCTCCCGTGCCTCTTTGTGTGTGCACTCTTACGTGTTTGTTCCATTTTCGTCGTGAATGCCCGCGTTTCTGAACCGCATGTCAATGCAGGTGTAGTATACATCGATCAAAACTGTTCTTTATGGACAATACGTATCATCAAACAAAACTATATATACTTGATCATCAATCGAATAATCATCATCGCCGTTTGCAGGTGTGCGCCGGCCTTGGTTGCTGCTCGCTGGGAGCACTTGCCCCGACAGCCCGTGGTCGGCTATACGGGCAACCTTTGTCTTTGCCACAGATGATGACAGAAGCGCACGTGAGCGAGGTGGTGGTGGTGGTCGCGTGTGCCGAGGCGGTGGAGGCGATGTCCCTCTCGCCGGGCCCCGCGCAGAGCGGCCAGGTGCTCTCACCATCATCATCACACTCAATACAGACACACACCCTGGCATCTCGTATACACTCACACACCAGAGAAAGAGCCCCCCCCGTATAGCCTTAACAGACTGTCGGGACAAGTGCTGTTAGCGAGTAGCACCTATGAAGGCCGACTCGGAACATGAGGGAGTGGCTAGAAACACGCCCGGCCGCCTTTGTCTTCCCGGTGTACGTATGCGCAACTTCTTTCGCACTCTACGTAGCCAACCGTTCTGATGTTTACACGCCGCACCAGGTAAGGCATACATTTAGGGCTGAGTCGACCTAGGGGAGGCCCAGGACCGGTTCAGATTTTCGTCACTGATATTGGCTGTGAAAGGGGAATCGATCTCGCGTCACTGGCCATGTAGCTCAGTGCGCTAACCACCACCACCACCACCCCCTCTGCCCCCCAATCTCACCTATATACATACAACCACCCACATCCAAGATACGTATCAAATGAATGTCGACTCGCGTTTACAAAGAAGGCTGAGTGGGACCGCATCTCAAGACGTGCTGCAAGGAGCGAGACGGGCAGTTGATGTCTCAAGAGATTCGCGGGGAAACAAAGAGGAAATGATTGTGTTTCGGGTGACGGTGGAGGGGGGGGGGGTCACCTGGGGGAGAAACGTGGATCCGGGCAAAGATGAATATCGTCCCGAACAATTCCCTCCGAGAGCTTTACCTCGAGTGCGCAGGCGGTGCAATTGCACCTGCGGCGGTCCGAGCCAACTGAGGGCGCTGAGCGTAAATGATTTCGGAGGGGGCCTTTTCTGTCCAATGAATTTCAATACAAACGCCTCGAGCGGCACGGGCAGGATCCGTGCAGAGAATGGACATGTAATGACGGGGACGTGAGAGATGCAAGTCAACAACGACGTGCGAGGCAAGAGAATAAGATGCAGGCGAGATGCAGATGGATGAAAGGTTGTCGGCAACATGCAGGCGTAGCAGCGAGATGGAGGCGAGACGCCGACATGAGACAGGAGATGTTTACATGGGGAGAGAGAGAGAGAGCCATGAAGACAGCATAGATGCGTCTTGAGACGAGAGGGATGTAAGAGGTGGTGAGGGGGGAGGGGGGGAGATGTAAGATGGAAACGTAGCGATAGTGGACAGTGGAGAACACGAATTCAGTCGTACTCGGCGGATATTTTTGGGCCACTTCGGCGCCTGAGATGGAGCCATGAAATCAGCTGGTGAGCAGTAAGATGCCGGGTGGATTGATGCGAGGTCGCCGGAGATGGCGGCGTTAGGGGGAGGCCTTCCTCCGCCCAGCTGTGAATGTACCTCGACTGATGATAACGACGACGATGACGACGATGACCGTCTGCCTGCCCTGACTCCCCGTTACCAGATTCTCCCGGAGAAGGTGGCGCCGAAGCCCGGGCCTGGCGCGGCGCTGCCCTGCATCGTCCTGGACGCAGAGGACGCCGTGGTGGAGAGCGGAGAACTCCGCTGGCCTCCGTGCCTCGCCCTAAGCCTCGCCGCCTCGTCCGACCTCCATCAAGACCCCGGTTCGAGTCCCGACCCGGGCCGCTCAACTCTGGGACGCGTCGAGGAATCGACCTCGATGCCGGCTACGGGGTTCTGCCGGCAGACGAATTCAGCCGCGGGCCGTGTCCTCGAACTCGTGATTGACCTCGACATTAACTCTGCCGCTGCCGCCAACCTTGACCCCGACTCTGGCTCTAGCCACGGCCCGGAGATAGTGGTGTCCAGCCTTGACCCCGCGGAGCCAGCGGAGAGTGGGGAGCTCATGTGGCCTCCTGCCCACCTCATGGTCAAAGAGGAAGAGGACGATGATGATGATGACGGTGGCGGCGATGAAGCTGTTGTTGATGATGATGGAGAGGTCTTCGCAGAAAACATTAAGGGGAAATTCCAAGCTTGTGGTGGTGGTGGCGGTGAAGACGATGATGTTGATGATGATGGAGATGATGATATGAAAGAGGTTCCAGATGATCGCTATGACACTGCTGCGGTCACGTCGATGGAACCAGACGAAGATAGCCACGCGGTTCTGGAGTTGGTGGATCCACGTGAAGATGGAGCTGAGCGGACGGGGAATTTTGGGGGTAAGAGATGTGAGGCTAAGTCGCCACAGGAGGCCCCTTTAAGTCGCCAAATCGAGTCCGTGCAGGGTATTCCCAGTAACCGGTAGCGGGCGTTGTCTGCTTTCTATCGGCGTGAGAGTCACGCTTCACGGGACGCGACTTACTTGCTTGACTGACGATGATCGACATGAGTCGGTGCCCTGCGCGAGAATCAGACCTTCAGGCTGACACAAATTATCCAGCGTTCGTTTTCGCACGTAGAGTACATTCACTTTTTATTTTAAGCAGGGTAAGCGGAGAAATCCCCACCAACGCATACGAAGGAGAAAAAAAAACTCGAAGCGCCACACAGATGGGTTCACGAACCCGTTGCTGTACTGCTGTTGGCGAGATTAACACAGTATAATGGCCGTGTCGATACCGGCAGCAGTAGACTGTGTATGGCGCGTACCGCACAGCGCATACGCACCGTGTAGAATCGCGAGCGACAACGTCTCTCGCTGTACCGGCTATGCACCGTCTCTCTCTGTACCGGCTATGCACCGTCTCTCGCTGTACCGGCTATGCACCGTCTCTCTGTACCGGCTATGCACCGTCTCTCGCTGTACCGGCTATGCACCGTCTCTCTCGCTGTACCGGCTATGCACCGTCTCTCTCTCTGTACCGGTTATGCACCGTCTCTCTCTGTACCGGCTAAGCACCGTCTCTCGCTGTACCGGCTCTGCACCGTCTCTCTCTGTACCGGCTATGAGCCGTCTCTCGCTGTACCCGGTTGTCTCTTTGTCTCGTTTCCCACAGAAGGCGTCATACAGGCGGGAGCGCGCGGGATGGAGGCGTGCGTTTCCATGGAGGAGGAAGAGGAGGAGGAAGATGAGGAGGGGGTTGAGTTTGAGGAAGTAGGGGAAGGAGATGAGGAGGAAGTGGATCAAGACGAAGGAGATGATGATGATGATGAAGAGGAGGAGGATGAGGAGGAGGAGGAAGGAGTCTGCGGCCCGTAGCGAGGAGCACTCATCTCACGGTCGCGTTTATCCCGGGGTCTTCTCTTCTCCGTCATCCCGCGCCTCCGTGCGAGTGCGCGCGCGCGTGGCTCTCTCTCTCACACACGCACACACACGCACACAACAAAAACACTGACCGACACAGCACGCACGCACGAAGAGACCGACAGACGGAAAGGTGATCGCCGTTTCGCATTAAAGCGTCGAGCAGCAAATCCACCCGCCCGCAAAGGCACTCCGCGTGCCGCGTACCGCGCACGTGGCGACAGTCCACGTGGACTGTCGGCGAGAGACTGCAGGCTTGTTTGTGGACCGCACGTGGGAACGCAACGAGTGTCGGCCACGTCAGTGGTGCGAAATGGTGGCGGCTGTTGTGATCCAGTTGTTGTTGTTGACGCCGCGAGATGGTGGTGATGGAGGAAGAGGAGGTGGATGAGGATGTACAGGAGGAGGTAAAGTTGTAATTATAGAGCTCGTTTTTAGTCGTGTTTACAATCGTTACCCACGTGTGTTTTGTATTCGTGTTGCTGATTATAATTTTTGGGGTTTTGCGTAAACGGAGGTTTGGTGAAGGAGCGATAAGCCGGATGAAAACGGAAATTGGAAGCCTTTAAAACATCCCTCTCAAAACCAGACCAAATGCTCGCACTAGCCCGGTGTTCAGTTTAATTTTTAGTGAAATAATTATATATTGGACAGCAGATAAGTATTGCGCGGAATATGAACACGCGTATTTTAATCCAAGTGGGTATATATGTGTCGCCTTCTTCTCATTGGAAACCCAGCGGTCATGACCAAGCGGGCGTGTACATAACAAGTAGAACATTGACATCATCATTATAACCATCATCATCATCATCGCTGTGGGCGACTGTACTACTGTAATGACAATCCCCTAGCTCGGAGTCACCCACTACGCATATCAAGCGAGCAGCGCTACTGTTTACCGCAAAGCGTTCCGCTACACATCCGATAGAGACATTGTGTACTTTTTAAAATTCTTATTTTGACTTAGAAAAATAGACGTTTCGGCCAAGTGGCCTTTACAAGTCTGCCGTTTACGCAAGACAGGTCATTTAAGGCGATGTATATAACTGTACATAATGTGGTGTGAGCGTTGTGGTAAGCGAACTGCGTTACGTACGCGGCCACCTGGTCACGGGGCTTTCGGCTCCACGAACCTAAATTGACCAGCGTGGTGAGGTATGATCACCCCCCCCCCCCGTGACCGACACAGCGTGGGGGGAAGCCTTCATATCCAGCAGTGGATTGACAAAAGTTCTGTGCATATTCACAACCTAGTGTTGCGTTGATGGAGTTACGACAGAAAGAAAGAAAAAAAAACGAGTTTCTGGATTATGACTGAGGAAGTCGGGAATTAATCCGTGAATCAGATTGCTCAGAAGTCAGAGACTCTAAGCCAGCATCTCTGAGATGTTGAGATTCGGATTCGGGATTCAGCCCCTTGCGATTAAACCGGGGTTGCTCAGGGGTTGTGAGTTGATGGTCTCAGCCAGGTCAACAAACGACTGCAACAACAATAACAACAACAAAAATCCCCATCGTGCTGAACTGCGGGCACTTAATTTGGCAAATTCCAACTCTGATCGTGAGCTACTTTGTTCGGTTTGCTTGCCGATGCGACAAACGCCGCCTCGTGTAGCAGTGCACGCGAGAAGGTGCATCGCCCACCGAGTGTGGATGAGACGGCAAATTTGAAAGGACCTTGAAAGGACCTCTGACACAAGGTGATGCACCGCTTTCTGCGAGTGATGCCCTCCTGGAAGACGCCTTCTCGTCAATGGCAATTTCCGTCTGTGTCCTGTACCCGGAGTGAAACCCGTGTGGCGTTAACTCCAAGACTGCCGCTGACCCCGTCACGTCCTGCAGCCTTCAGTTGCCGAGAGAATGAATGTGCGTGGTGCTGATGATGATGGTGACGATGATGATGACGATGCTCGCTTTGTCGAGGTCGGGCAGGTGGATCGCGCGGATATGAGAGTCGTGAACGTAAAGACATCGACCCGTAGGGCATTTAGGCTGCAGTACAGCAAGTAGGATGAATTTATTTTTTTAATTGGCAAATGATCAACTGCATAGCAGGATAACGTGAAGTCGAACCTATTGTGACTCGTTTAATCTGAGAGAAGCCAACACGGGAAGCTGCTGTCATCATGGCGGTACGATCCTCGTGTGCGTTGATGAGCGTTCAAAAAATAATCCAAACAGCATCTTCCTGACAAAAAAAATATATCCTCACGCACCATGTGTACATGTCCCAGTGTTCATAAGTTGTTGTTGTTGAAGCGAACACGTCCATGCATTTGCCACTAAGTTGCGGAGACGCTGCCACGCCGCACTAGTGCCAGGCTGGGTGCTCTTTGAGGCCACGCGAAAGTGGCTCGCTGGCAGGAAGTCACGGGACACTCCCGGGTGTTATGGGTGAAACTGCGTGGAGATGACAGGCAGATGTACCAACTCACTGTGTTTTATCGACCCGGGCGCGCTGCTCGTTGTTCTGAGCGTCACACAGACATAGGCGCAAGCACATGTTTTTTTTTATTAGGCCTGACGGTGGCACAGAGCAGCGCGGGGTTTGTGTTGTCACTGCCGCGGACACACGTGAGGTTGTCTAGTGGCACCATGTGATTGCCTAGTGACACCATGTGATTGCCTAGTGGCACCGTGTGATTGCCTAGTGGTGTTCGTGAGATTGCCTAGTGGCACCGTGAGATTGTCTAGTGGCACCGTGTGATTGCCTAGTGGTGTTCGTGAGATTGCCTAGTGGCACCGTGCGATTGCCTAGTGGCACCGTGTGATTGCCTAGTGGTGTTCGTGAGATTGCCTAGTGGCACCGTGCGATTGCCTAGTGGCACCGTGTGATTGCCTCGTGGCACCGTGAGATTGTCTAGTGGCACCGTGAGATTGTCTAGTGGCACCGTGAGATTGTCTAGTGGCACCGTGAGATTGCCTAGTGGCACCGTGTGATTGTCTAGTGACACCGTGAGGTTGCCTAGTGGCACCGTGAGATTGCCTAGTGGCACCGTGAGATTGCCTAGTGGCACCGTGAGATTGTCTAGTGGCACCGTGAGGTTGCCTAGTGGCACCGTGAGATTGCCTAGTTGCACCAAGTGATTGCCTAATGGCACCATGTGATTGCCTAGTGGCACCGTGAGATTGCCTAGTGGCACCATGAGGTTGCCTTGTGGCGCCGTGAGATTGCCTAGTGGCACCGTGAGATTGTCTAGTGGCGCCGTGAGATTGCCTAGTGGCACCGTGAGATTGCCTAGTGGCACCATGAGATTGCCTAGTAGCACCGTGAAATTGCCTAGTGGCGCCGTGAGATTGTTTAGTGGCACCGTGAGATTGCCTAGTGGCACCATGAGATTGCCTAGTAGCACCGTGAAATTGCCTAGTGGCGCCGTGAGATTGTCTAGTGGCACCGTGAGATTGCCTAGTGGCACCGTGAGATGGCCTAGTGGCACCGTGTGATTGCCTAGTGGCACCGTGAGATTGCCTAGTGGCACCAAGTGATTGCCTAGTGGCACCTCCAGATTGCCTAGTGGCACCGTGAGATTGCCTAGTGGCACCGTGTGATTGCCTAGTGGCACCGTGAGATTGTCTAGTGGCACCGTGAGATTGCCTAGTGGCACCGTGAGATTGCCTAGTGGCACCGTGTGATTGCCTAGTGGCGCCGTGAGATTGTCTAGTGGCACCGTGTGATTGCCTAGTGGCGCCATGAGATTGTCTAGTGGCACCGTGAGATTGTCTAGTGGCACCATGTGATTGCCTAGTGGCACCGTGAGATTGCCTAGTGGCACCGTGAGATTGTCTAGTGGCACCGTGAGATTGTCTAGTGGCACCGTGAGGTTGCCTTGTGGCGCCGTGAGATTGCCTAGTGGCACCGTGAGATTGCCTAGTGGCACCGTGAGATTGCCTAGTGGCGCCATGAGATTGTCTAGTGGCACCGTGTGATTGCCTAGTGGCACCATGTGATTGCCTAGTGGCACCGTGAAGTTGCCTCGTGGCGTCGTAGGACCCGTGGAAAGCTTGGAGTGCATTGGGCACACAAATCCCGTAACTCCGTAGCTGAGCCCAGGAAATACGCTGTGGTATTTCATGCTCGCTCAGTGCTCATGATTTATCAAAGGGGCAACCGAACGGAGCATTTCCCTGGAATCAATTCAAGTGGGGGGAGGGCGGGTAGTTGGAGCCTTTTAAATCGAGGCGTTCATGTGGGATGGGATGAGGCGGCAGGAGGGAGATAGGTGACTCCAAGATTAATTGAGTTGGGGGCATGAAGTGGGGGCCGCGGTGCAGGGGGGGGGGCTAAAGGGATGCTGCAGAGGTAAGGCATTTAAATACAAGTCGCTGTAGCCGAGGGGATGGACACACGAGCGGGTTTCGTTTGACGACTCCTCACCTCAGATGGCATTAACCCCCTCGGCCACAGCGGCCTCTCCGTTGGGCGACGCTTCCCTTGGCATCCTCTACAAGTGACACGAGACGTTTAAACTCGTCGGACCGTGGACATAATTCCAACGGTGAATTGGGTACGTGTAAATAATAAGCATTTGTAGATTGTGAGTGTACTGTTCACGTCAAGGCGTTTGGCTCCTGCCTCCCTGATGACGGGAATGCTTTGTTAGTGGGAAGGGCGGGGGGGGGGGATGCCCCTTCCGCTCTCGTCTCGTTTGAGGGGCCCAAAGGGGACCTTCAATTACCTTTTGCGGGAGCCGCGCGCGCACACACGCGCAAAGCTGAGCGTTATCCGGTAATAGCGCGACATGTCAATAAGGTGACGGAGCGCGTGAACAATTAGGAACACGGTGTTAGCAGGTCCGGATGTCACCATTCACACTATTCGAGTAGTGCCGCCGAAGATGCTTGCAGTGACGGGTCACTTACCGTTCTCGAAGCCTTACGTGGATGCGGGTCGTCTGGGATGAAGTTGCGGGCTACGTTCGGCTCGCGGGGCGTGAGGCTCCCCACGCCTGCATGTTTTAGGGTGGTAGGGGGGTGATCGTGGTTGAAGGGGTGTCGGGGGGGGGGAGCGGTGGTGTAGCGGTCAGCGAGCTGCGCTACAAACCCAGCCATGCGAGTTCGATTCCCGCTC